ACGTTCCTAGCTAGAAGTGTACGGTAGCTTAGAATTAGAATACATTCTTAATCACAATATCGTAAATTTTTTTGACAATTAGCAAATAATGAATCAGTAATCTTGTAAATTTACGCTATGTGACATTACTCTTAACATGCTAATACAGCGATATCTATTACTGGATTTAAACTAAATTAATAGGTAATTTTAATTTATTATTAAACAGTTGTTTACCGATACTGGGAGATTTGATCGCGATCATCCTCCTGCTCATCCGTTAAAAGATGATTCAGCTTGGTATCTTCCCAATCCAGGTATACAACATGTTTAGAATCATACATCACATTTTATAAATTATGGTACAACTTTCATTCATGCTTCCTCATCAACTTTGTATAGATTGCAGCGAACGGTATAGTTTTATATTTCACAATGTTGCTAATTTATAATCTGTATTATCAATTATCAATGTAAAATTAGCCAGATTTATAGCAATTCTTATAATATGCATTTGATCATAAATTTTGGATAGCACTATTATTCGTTCAAAAAATTTCGATTGTATGTATTTTTATTCAATCACATTATCTATAATTGATTGTTATGCTTTCGTATTGGTGATGAAAGTATAAAATATACCACACTCTCTATTTATATCCAATCAACTTTTATAACTGATCTTTTCATGCATTCAAGACAAGACCTATATCAATATCGTGGATGCTGCAAAAATTGGTGACTACGACACTGTTAGATTTGCATTGAGGAGAGGCACCAATGTCGATGAAAGAGATAAATATTTCAAAACTCCATTAATGGAAGCTAGTGCTAGTGGACATGTGAACATTGTAAAATTATTATTAGAAAAAGGGTAAGTCTTGGATTGAGCTCTATAAGAAATTCTATATGAGGTAATTACCGCTAACATGGGTAATTGTGTTCTTATAACAGGGCCGAAATTAACAAGGTAGATAACTTTAAGTGGACCGCTCTTCATCATGCCTGCCATGCAGGACAAGTAAGTTTTCAGGAATATCGATTTCATAATAAAGTATAACATAGTGGAATATCTACTGCATTATCAATAAATTTTAGTAGTTCGGCAAGTATCGTATTGCTTTATAGTATGTCACAATTCAAATTTAGGATACTTTGTGGATCATTTTCAATTGTTTAAGTCGGCTAATATAATGTATTGTATCAATTAAAACATCTTTTTTTCCATATTATCTAACACTCAATACTATTGTTGTCTAAATAGGAAGACATAGTGAAGATATTGGTTGAAAATAACGCAGACATTGATGCCCAAACGTTAAATGGTGGTACACCTCTAATGCGAGCTATTGAAGCCTCAAGGGCTTGCATAGTACAACATATAATAGAAAAGGGGTAAAATAGATATGTTATTGTAGCATTATTCTCCATTCCTTTACCGTGCAAACAATTATTTTGGTCATAACGATAACAACGGTACTAAAAAATTTTCAATATTACTATAGATGTAAGGTACAACTAAAAAATAGAAAGGAACAAACCGCTCTAGAAATTGCAAAAGCTTGGGCAGATCCCAATGTCCTTTCAATTGTCCAAGCAAAATTTGATTCTTTGCCACCTGTAAATAAGAAAAACCGTAAGTTTACGTATATCATTAATTAATATTTACCCTCTAGGCTCGGATGATATCCTAATTTTAAGTGTACTTAAATATGTAGTCTAATTTAATTTAAATTAACTATTCGCCATTGATATAGGTCGCCCCGGAACTCGGCGAACAGCATCTCCACCGAAGGCAGCACCTACGTCTGGAGATGGAAATCAGGTATGTATTACAGTATGTAATTCTTACAAATTATTGTCTGTTTCAAAGCACTACTTAATTATTACTGTATTGCATACCCGTATAACATCTATTAGCATTACAAGCTATTTCAATCGTATCTATCTCATCGTGTTAAAGAATGTTCAACTGATCTATCGTCTAGATTGGTAGAGCATTTGCATGTGCACCAGTTAATGAATGCTTTCTCTTTGATTATCATTAGCAACCTCAGCCCAATGGAGAAGTAAAAAAATCCTCCATTGTCACTCCTCCACCTATTATTACTAACGACGCTCAGACGTCGCCTAAGAGGAAGGGATCCATTATACTTGCTGCATCATTAATCGCTGCTCAAGATGAAAAAGAAAAGAGATTGGAATATCAACCTAAAAGCGTCTGGCTACCTCAACCTACGACGGTAAAATTCAAATCGAATACAATAACATCGATACCTTACTACGTATAACAAATCACTTAAAATTTTATTTTTCTAATACTTGTCCTGTTCGATAACATTACTTAAAAGACTCTCAGCGTTTATCACTTGTATACTAATAGAAGGCCATATTTAATATAATATCTCATAAATACATACAACTATTGAATATGTTATAGGAAGAGCTATTAAACGGCAAAGAGGATAGACGTAAACGTTATGGTCATGAGATTGACTTTCCGGACTATAAACCTCCTTTCCAAAAGAATACGATACACAGAGCGGAACAAATAGAAAAAGAAGTACCTCTAAAAGTAAAATAAGAAATATGATTTTTGTGTACTGTATTAATCCAATAGCAGAAAATACTGTATTGATTCAAGGACGTATACGATTATGAGATCATTAAGGTCGTGATGTTCCTGTATATTATGACAGTATATATGGAAAAGCAATCTATTTTTACACTTAAAATATTATTAGAAACTGAAAAGACTCTAGTTAAAATCTAAAATTAATCACTGGATAAAAGTCTAGTCTATGTTCGTAGGGTCTTTTCCTATATATGAATTTGTACAGCTATTTAATTGCCGTGATAGTGCATAATCTGTAATATGATGTAATGGTTTACTGGATTGTTTATTTTGATGTATGGAATAGATTGATAATAGGTCATTGAAGATCTTACGACTTGAGAGTGTATACTGTGACATCGATATTCATTTTTCGACTTTTGATTCATTTTCTTGTGGGACTAAACGGTTACATTCACAATGAATCAAGCTATCACTCCTACCATTATAATCATCAATTTTATCACGTAATATCATTTCTATTATAACTTTAGTATACACTAAAGTATAGTTCTACTTTCGTTTGACTTGCTTTATAATCAGTCGCCTACATATTGCCGCTAATGGACGAGAACACGAGTATAGTATTGATATTGAGTGGCATTATTATCTTTCTTTATTTTCTAATTACTGTAAGTTTAAACTTGAAATCATCATTTTATATTAATGTAATCAACGAAACGATCTATTTTTCTATGATAATGATTATACTATTGCAAAAAGTACTATGAATTGTCCAGGTTATCTTTCACCACATTGATAGTCTACAAAAGAACAATAAAAAGGATAATAACATGATATAAGTACAGCAGAACTACTTAAATCTATGTCAAGGAATGATTAATTGGTAATTTGTTAAATTAAAGGTTATAGTAGCATGCAGGTACCAGAGGATGCGTATATATCCTATAAAGCGAAATCTTTATTATTGCATATTACATATACCCTATTTACAGAAGCTAATGCATGTAAGTACAGTCAGCAGCATAATTGAATCTATGCCAATAATTGATTGATTAAAATTTTTCAGTTATTACGGTATTCAACGACTACGAGTTTATATTAAAGGCTACTTGTAGATCCATTTACTTTGTACGGTATGCCTTAAGTGTAATGCAGCGATGTTTAAATCTATGCCAATGATTGATAGAGACTTGTTAGATATTGCTGTATCCAACAACTCACGAGTTTACTCTATTAAAGACTACTTATACATGCATGTATATCGTATGTATACTGTATAGAATACAATTTTCATTAGTACAGCATACACGCTTGTATGTACTATTTTACAGAAATTCCATTAATCTAATGGATGTAAGTGCAGTAGTAATAGTTATTAGAATCTATGCCAATATACAATGAATCGATTGATTGAGACTTGTTGGTTACTACCTTACCGTATCTAACGAGTCACGAGTTTATATCACAGGCTGTATATCGATTGAAATTTTCATTTTGTGTACACGTATATGCAGCATGCGCGCTAGAGACCCTTAGGCTCAGGATCTCATAATAATAATAATAATAATAATAATGATATACACTATCTACAGAAATTTCTGACCGACCTAATGGATGTAATTACATTGCAGCAGTCATTGAACCTATGCCAATATTGCATCGATTGAATGAGACTGTACGACTCATGCGTTTATATTATAGGCTACTTGGATATATACCGTATAAAACGAAATCTTCATTTATGCATATGCATTCTGCAACAAAATTTGTTAATTGAATCAATGACAGTCGGACCATGATGTTGTCAAAACTGTTCATAACTAAAGCATTCCTCAACTACCATACTGCCCACTGATAGGCGACTACCCGACGACCTTTTTACAACGATGACATAACGCATTTTTTGATGCGTGCAGTATCTATACTAAGTAATTTGCCAACTGTAGAACACGTTGCCTTGTAAGTACATACTGAGTTTTCAAAATAATATGGGAAGAATCATGTTACTAATTGTGGTGTCGGGGCCTTTAATTCAATTAATTAACAGTCAATAAAAACTTCAAACTTTATGTTTTGAAAGTTGCGTGTCCAGACACATCGAGCTCAGCTTCATCCATATTCATGTTTATGGTCTACAGTACTGCGTACTGTAGTGTGTTTACAGAATGTACTGTACTGTACTGTACTGTACTGCGCTTAAGCTAGAAAATTCAGTACGCTACAGTACAGACTACAGAGTACTATAAGGTTTGCATTGTAGAGGCCGTGATCTCCTGAGGCGGGTACAGTACAGTATAAATGCCAACCGTGATCGCGTTGTCCACTTTAAGTGCTGCTAAAAAATCTGCTCGTCGAAAAGTTCCACCTGAGCTTGGCAAAGTTTTGAAGCATTTGCATCTACTTTTTTGTCTTGTTGCTTTCCGTTTTCTCCAGACGTATCACAATGAATCTAGTTGAAATTGGTCTCATTGTTGCAGTTGCTATACCAGCTCATATTCTTGGCGCTTTATGGTACGGTATACTGTTTGGTCAAGCTTGGTATACACGCGTTTACAAGATTCCGAATCGTAAAATGGAAAATGATAACTCTGTCTTACCTTATCTCATCTCGTTTACAAGTAATGTCGTCGCGTCCTACTTGCTGTATGTATGGTTTGGCACACAAACAACTTATGGCTTCGTTCCAACTCTTGCCATTGCGTCGGTTGTAATCATGGCTCTTGCAGCACCTCAATTTGCCTTCTCTCAGTGGTCTCCAATAGTCTATTTAATCGATTGTAGCCATAGTATTGCCTGTGTTGCAGCCATGGCCTACATACATCGTTATCTGATTCATCAACAGTAATCAAAATGTTGGTGCTTTCCTTTGCGGTGAGAGATGAAGGATCAAAGCCAATCAATTGATCTATTTCTTGTAAGGTGGCTTTTAAGACCACATGCATGTTGTAAATTAGAGTTGCTTTATGCAGTACTGTATACCGTAGTATGTCTAGCGTGTAGATGTGCCTCTGTACATCCATATCGCTCCATGACCTGAAGATCTTTCTCATGTCGTGATTAACACGAATAGCTAGTTTTTATATTTGATTCGTTGTCTTTAATGCAAGTAAATGTACAATCTTACAATTGCGGTTATTGTTAAATTATGCAATGTTCTCTCAATTTGCATCTATCAAAGTACAATGCACTCGTGTTGCTTTGGACAAATGTAAAAACATACCACGATAATGCTTTACATGTTGATTCACTGATGAAGTGTAGGCAAGGTATTGCTACTTATCGCTACTTGCTAGTCAAATTCGTAAATGCCTTGTTTTACAAGACTTTCATTCGAAGTTTGTAGCCATGAGCTGCGGCTTCGCAATGATAAACATAATGTTCAAATCTCATAGTACCTATTCGTGTATGATTGATTTCGTGATACGTTCTATTTTCAAATTTTGCACATTGTGCTTCAAGACTAGCAGCAGTATGCATTAGTACTGTTTCCTTGGGATACATGCTCAATTGCAATGAAACGTTCATTGATTTTAAAGTTGTACTTGGTTCAATAAAACCTTGCGATATTTCCTCCAAGGCTTCTGCTAAAGCATGCTAGTATTTCTATCACCTACAGTTACAGTGATCATATATTGTACTCGTATATCGTAAGAAAGAATAGAATAGTGCACTTGGCTGCAAGAGTGATCAAGCAATAACAGTACAGTATGAAAGATAATGAAAAGCAATTGATCCAAATGAGTATTTTTGGATAGAATCCAACTTTTTTGCATTTTACACAGTATTCTCATGTTAATAAACTGTCATCCACTCAGAATTTTTGGCATCGTTTGCAGAGCTCGGATTCGAAATATTTGCCAGTATGCTGGTATTTCAAGTTACATCAAATAGCTGCAGACTATAGTACAGTATAGTACTGTACTAATATGTGAATGTCCGAGATGCAGTATGATAAAAATGTTATCAGACTCTTTTTCAATGCTGTAGAGCATGCTGTAAAGTTGCTAAATGCAACGTGCTGTTATTTGCAAAGTACACAACATGTCGGCAACATGTTCCGATTTTGTGCTTGTATGTACTGTAGGCAGTTCAATACTGTAAAGAATATACTCGTACAAGAAGAACATTTCCGTTGGAAGTTAGCTAGCGGCACAGTTAGAACTAAATTTATCTCCCCGAGTACTCGAAAATTTGTTAAATTCTGCTTCGAAGTAAATAACACTACTGTACATGAAAGTACGTATTGTGCTACAAATTTCATGGGCTTGCTGCTCACAACTACTGTAGAGACCACAATTACAGTCAACCCGTCCAGATTGGCATCTCTCTTGAGGAATTTTGTTTTTTCAGGGTAAGGTAAATAGACAAATACTGTGCGCTATTTAGCTAGTGCCATACACTAGATGAAAAATAAACATTAAGTTTTGATGGAAAAATAAGGTTTCAACCTGATTTAATTATTGAACTAATTATATGAACGTATTGTTTAAGGCATCGTCAGATGTGACCGTAATAGTATCACGGAAATTTTAAATATTATTCATGTCTGCTTTGATATCAATTTTTTTCAATAGACGGTTACGTTTCAAAGTGTGCATAAAGGCATACGGCAGTCAGGATTCTCGCGAACTCCTTTTTCTTTGTTAGCCTTTTAATTTCCGGATAAGCATCACGAAAAGTAACGTACACTAGGTGTATAGCACTTTCTCTGCTTGCTCGGTTTGGTATATTGCCATTTACTTTACATACCTTAATTTCACGCTCACTTTCAGAGATGCAAAAGATGAGCTCATACGTACCTCATGGATAATTTTGGTGCACAGTGTCTTTAATTAGAATACGTAGTAATTTATTTCTATCAACCGTGACTACGATGAGTCATGTTCATGGACTACTCGATATAACCTGTAATCTAGTAGTCCATGGATGAGTCTATTTGTTCAGAATAAATATCTATCAGGATTAAAAGATTATGCCGTAGTATAAAGTCATGAACAAATACTACAGTAAAATAGACATAACTATGGCATTGTGTTGGGACCGTTGACGTGATTGGAGAAAAAAGGATTGACTTTCCAGCTTAATTTTGTAGCGAAATTAAATTACTGTCCAGCTATTTTTCGCTGCAGGATTTTGTCGCTCTGTCAGATGTTGACATTTATTCAGTTCAACAGCAAAGATAGAACATTACTGTGTACACTAGACTGTACATTGCTCGAGTAATTTAAGCACATGGTATTGTGGTGTAGTCCGATGGAATGGCGCCAAATTCTCCTTTAAACTGCTTCGTCTTGCTGCAAAAATAACAATCGATGTATCTGCTTGCTTGAGAGCAATTTGATTCCATTGCTGTATGATTCACTAATAGCTCTACGAAGGTACAGGGGGTTCTGCTTGTTAACATAAAATGAATGCGTTGCTGGATAGAATATGCATTTGTATTTACATTCTGCATAAAACAGTAAATAGTTTATTTGTCAACATGTGTCCAAGGCCCACAATTTCGGAAATGGTTGCTGATGCCATGTCAACATAGGCAAATGCAAGTTGAGACTTGTCCCATTAGCCCCAAAGCACAACTACTCTATACAGTCCAGTAGAGTACAGTTACAGTATGCAGTAAACTACTCATGCGTCTGTACTCTACCTGTAACCGATTACAGTGTACAGTATGAATGTATGGTATGGGCTAGCATAACCCTTAGTTAACATTCAGTTATATAAGGCAAGCGCATTGCCTACAGATGCACTTGAGACCTTGAATGCTGGACTAATATTGTCGATTGTTCGCTGCTAAAGGAGACAAGAATTTGCAGGCATCTTTTCAATTTTGCTCTTCTTTTCAAGGTAAGATTAGAGTATACAAGTCGATGGTATGATTATCTTACCTCTGTTATTGTATTTGCCAAGCTTGATGGATTGCATTGCATATGGACTGTAGCCAAGTATCTGCAATCTTGCTGAGATTATTGCTTAGCGAGTTAAAAACAGACAGTATACAAAAGTCAGCGGTAGAGCAACGCTGCTGCATTCGAATGCTCATCCAGTGACCTCCAGGAATACAGCAATGTGCTAGTATTGACTGTGAGATGGACAATGTTATACAACAAAACTGGATGCAACATGAACAACGTGCATGATAGTGTCATCATCAGGCTTGTCTACTGTATAAAATTCAGGTCTAATTCAAGTTGGCTCGTTTTCTTATTTTCCAACCTCTTTCTATTTGCGCTTTTTTTTAGCTATTCTTAGTTTTACGGAAATAACAAGACATGGCTTACGAACTTTGGGTCAGACTCGTATCTTACCTCGTAGTGGATCAAATCATTGGGGCGTTCTGGTATTCGCCTCTTCTCTTCGGTAATCCCTGGATTAAAATTGTACTCAGAGACAAGGAGCCTAAGCCTTCCTTTATGCCTTTTTTCATTACCTGGATGTGCTCTCTATCGCTAGGATATGTCTTGGATCAGTGGTTTTTGAGCCAAAGCCAATTCAGTGCTTGCCATACCGCTACTGTCTTGGCGGTGTTAATAGCTGCACTCGACGCGCCACACGTGTCCTTCCAAGGATATCCTTTAACACTTTATATCATTTCCGTCGGCCACAAAGTCACTCAAATATTTTGCTGTTGCTATTTGTTGCAATATTTTCATGCCGACGGATCTTCCAAATTATTTTAAATTGACTATAAAATTTGGATCTTTGCCAATTTAATGTATTGTACTGTATACTGTATGGTAGCTCATTTGATTTCTATATACTGTACACCTGAAGGCCGTTCACCAATAGCTTTTATTTGAAAATAAATAACTGTTATGTTTTTACTGCTGTACTTGTACGCGTATGACAAAATTAGCTAGCTATTGTAGTAACACACAGCAGAATTGACCATTTTATAAAAAACAAATGTGCTGCAATAGTAGCATGCCTTTGCAGAAAAGTGCCAGCAGGAATTCTTGTTTCGTTTTCGTTAGTTTATTGCACTTACGTCGTCTATTGCTGTACGAGATCAAGCTATGAACTATTTTACTTTCAGCTCCACGATTATTTAACGTGGAGTATACAACTTCACGCTTTATTAACGATGTACCGTACGATAATAATATTTCTCATGAAGAGCAACACGGATCGTTGTAACATGTATTCATTCTGTAGGTTAATTAATCCATACTCTGTCATGGTCTATCTTCTAAAATGTTGTATTAGACAGCTGAACTGCAATAAAGAAAGACTTCCGTTTGTAGTATGCAAGAGATACTTCAACTGCTGTTTATGATTGGCATTTTAAAGTTCTAAAAGATTGCATGCATTGCCGACAACTGCAGTTGGTGCTGACGAATGCTTATTGCTGAGCTTCATAATAAGGAGAGTACAATATTTGCAACAAATGTGCCGTGGGCAAACACAAACAGCTACAGTACTTTAGACAGTAGTTTGTAGTAAAAATCGTAGGGATTGAGTAAAAAGCCAGAGCTAAAACCGGCGTTTAATTGCCCAGATCGAGCTAAAATCATGTCGCCAATGGCCTAAATGCAGTAGAGGCGACGTGACATCATTCTGTTCCCGATCCCAGACTAGACTATATTCTGGAATAAAAAATCATGTCACCAACTGGCCAAAAGCTCTGTTCGGACGAGTGACATCGATTCCGTACTGTGGCATGGTACACTAGTCAGTTTGTATCTACTGCTGGACGTATAATACTGTCCAGTACTGGAAAATCGATGAAAGGACCTGAGGGCTGAGAGCAGATCAGTAATCGAATCTGCTTCCTGTTTCGGTCTCTTAATAGTGGCTTGAGAAGGGCAAAGTTCAACAAAATTAATGCAGAAAAGTCTGGTTGATATATTAAGCAGAAGTTAGTGCAGCTACACTAGTAGAAAGACTCAATTTTACATAGATTGGATAAACTGCATATGCATTGGATGATCGCATCTGAGTAGAATGCTGTAAGAAATCATTTCAAAGCCAAGATGAAGAGGTGAGCAATCTTGACGTGTAATGTGGAGGTAAACCAAGCTTGACATTGAGTGAATCATACGCATAGTAATATTAGTATCCTTATCATATTAGTTCCTATAACTATAGAAGGATAGTTTTACTTTATGTGCTCCAGGAGTTTCTGACGAGACTAGAAAAGGCTAGTGCATGAAGATCACTTTGTAGTTAGTAGTCGGTTAGTGAGTTAACTAGTTTGTCAATTGCTATTGAATTGGCAAGACTACAATCTTGGTTGTTAAGATTTCTTCAGTAATCAATAGTAGATCATTCTCTGACTACCTCATCTACACTATCAGTGGCGCTATAGCTATACTATAGTATTTAGTCGTTAGAGCTGAACTATTTGGTGATAATAACCGTGATATAGCTAATCTCGTCTCGTTAAGTCAGTAAGAGGCGTTATCGTGTGTAAACTTACTTTGTCTCTAGTGGTGTGTGACAACATGATACTATACTGATCTTGTAGGTAGCGCAATACTTGATTTATTAAGATATTTACCCCTTGTAGCACCTGTGCAATGTGCATGCAACGAATGATTTATACGTATCCTTTATAGAAAATGCAGAAAAATCCAACTAGCTTGTTTACAATTATAGGCGTTGATATACAGTAAAGTATAATGATTAATCTTGCTTTCAATTACTACTATAGGAAAGCTACCAGCGATAGTAATTACCAAAGGATTAATCCAACAAGAGTAACAGAAAACCAACCTACCGGTCAGCATTATTCGTAGTAGAAATATTACCTAACGAATGTAACATATCCTGTATAATTCGTACACAGTTTGTTGAATATCTACTCAAAACATGGATGAGAATAATTCAGATTGTGTGATAATCTACAGCAATAGGCTCAAGAAATAGGAACGTAAATATATCATGTGAGCCAATCGTAGTAGATTATAACCATAGCCCACAAGGGTAAGCAAGAAGTAATTGAATAGGCATGCTCTTATGTTAATTAAACAGAGATGGAATGAAACTTGTTCTTTATGATAAATCCTGCTGTCTTAAAATGTCTCCTTTTAGTTTTGATGCTCATCTATTCCGGAATGAAATGGATATGGACACGCATAGGTTAGCACCAGATGAATTTGAAGGCGTAAGCTCGAAACAAAATGTGTCAAACATCAACAATGACCAAGATGCTGAATTTGAAAATGACGAACTCCTAGTAAAGGAAGAAAATTACCGAGTACTTTGGAGAACTGTTAATCCATATTATTATAAACAAGATTTGATAGAAGTGCAGGTGAACCTCAACTATACCTAGTTAAGTACCTGGTACAACGCTTTGAATTGTCTAATTAGCGATCACTATTGGCTATTAATTATAGGGAAAGAGGCTGATGCTGTGTTCTGCAACTCTTAATTTAAAGCTGTTACATGCCAACTTTAAAAAAAGACTAATCCCTGATATTGCATCATCGAGAAAGAGTATCATGCATAGTAACGTCTATTATAATGAGTCTAACATGGTAGGAATCCCACCTCCTCTACTGTAAATTACTTACAATTTCATAAAAAATAATTCTGGTGCTAGTTTACTACATGCAATTAGCGCAACTCGCACTAATGAATCTTTTTATTTTAATTACACTTACCTTAATCTTATCAATAGAACTAAGAAGTTTACTGAAATTGTACTGAGGTTTCGTTAATTAATTATTAAATGCAGCTAACAGCTGTACACAATTTAGCTCAGTGTTCTGGTACTCTAGTCTTAAGTTAAATTTACATCTCTATCTTGAAGCATATTAAGTATAGTGATAGATACTGTACGCTGTACAGTATATTAATAAAGTTGTGCTAATTAATTATGGCTATCGTCGGTGAAGCTATTTAACCGGCACAGGTTTAGAAATTTCCTTTGATTCTGCATATTTTGCTCTTAAAGAATTACAGTGGATGTATATGCAAATGTACAACTAATAAGAAAGGCCTACTACACTATAAATATGTAGGAGAACAGGTAAATAAAAGAAATCAAATCGCCATAGCATCATATTTAGTTTATCATTAGATTGCAGCTATGATATCGCAATTTAAACTTCTATATTTTCCCTGTATCACGAAGGCCGTACCTGCTTACGATCCCTGGACATGTTCCTACAATAAATTCTACCATTACAGAATTGCAATTTGGCCTTCAGTCAATTTTAAAGTAATTAAATGTTTGACAACTAATACTTAAAAATCTCTTTCTTCGTTATTAAATATTATAACTTAACATTCGTATAGAGTGATCATCCAACAGTTATACGGAAAAACAACAACGAATATGTATTTGAAGGCTTTTCTATATTATCTCATTATCCTCTCGAGAATATACCGGTTTGTCTTCTTCATCGGTATAATCGCCAGTATAAAATCTCTGCTAATGCTGAACCAATTTCATTGGTATGTTAGATTAAATATTGGAAAGTGCTTTGACCTTTATAACTAGTTGACTCTATCCGTTAGTCATGGGTTATTTAACTGCATATTTATTACTCTTTACGACCAGGCGTATACCTTACAAGATCTCGAATTATTTCAAGAATTTTTGTTCGATCATCTATTAGAGCTACCGGATTGGAGCTTAAAAGGTTGGTTAACATACGACGCGGCTTAGTTAAAGAATATCTACAGTTATAGTCGTCATAAATTTATTTCAAAGTAATCTGATATTGAATAAACGTATAAGTGTTATGGAGCGATATCACTTTTTACTTTTTAATTGGGCCACGTACAACAATTGATAATGGAGAATTATATAACGCTTTATACGAATAATTAATTAAATAAATACATCTTTTAGAGTGATTATTGCGGTGTTATGATGTAATAACACATGTTATACGAAAGGTACGATTATTCAATTTTAATACCAAATTAATTGATAATAAATATTTGTACTACAGATCCAAACGGTGATGGAAGATTATTTTATTTTATACCTCTATTCGTCAGAAAAAGCCATGGTAAGACTGTTATTATAGTAGTCGCTTTACTTTTTATACTTGCAGTGTTATACATTTTGCTTATATTTTGGGGCAATCCAGAATATTTCACACGTAAATACTGTGCATAACTGACTTTTAAAATTTAGAGAAAAGCGTAGAGACGTTATCTGTAGCTGAAGTATTGGAGTATATTTTAAACTTTTCTCAACCTCTGTTTGATGTAAGTTATCGAGTCGATAATCTTATTGATCATTTAAATTAATCTAAGATAGATGTAATGATTCTTTTTAGGTTCAGTGTTTGTTGTATGACAACGAAGACAGAAAAAAAATTACGAATGAAGTTACTGGATCACTAGTCTATTCGCCTTTCTTAGTAATGCTCCTTATCGGACTCAATATACATGAAGTAGCAATACTGATACTGCAAACACAGCTGATACTCTGATATTATTTATTAGAAACCGTCTACTATTCGTGTTGATGATATTGATTGGAGTAAAGTCTGCTACGAGTCTAGGGTAATATACGATTTGAAATATGTATGCTTTGAAGAATTAATTTTTAAAGCGAGTTGTTGGCATCTGGTCTATTTCTAGACGTACCCGAAAGTTATTCATTGCAGTCATCGGCCTCACCATCATAGCTATTTAAATAACAAGAAGTAAATTTGCTAGTTTAAAGCATTCATGAATTCAACTAATGGTGAAACCGAAGTTGTTTATTTGCGTGAATTACATAAAATTTTATCGGCTGTACTCTCATTGTAGATATTTAGAAATTTGCCATGAACGAAATACTCTAAGAGAGGGGTTTAAAGCCGGGTACTGATAATGTACTGTTTTTTTTACATTATTCATAAACAAGATTATAATTCTACTAATAAGCTGTCAATTTTCCTGGTAATCTAGAGTCTTGCTAAAAAGTGGAAAGCAGGTCAGCGAACTGATGCGAAAAGCTGAAGAAAAGTTATCACGTATAAAAGAATCTAGGTTAACGTTATTTAATAAAATATTTATAATTGAAAATCATCAGCATATTAAATTATTTGGGCCTATATATTAGTAATCTTAAACGTGAAGTAAGGGTTGTAATTGACGGAGAGAGGTTTAACAGAATCGGCTTAAAAGGTGATATAACACAGGTAAAGAAGAAAAATTTTCATTAGTATCGAGAAGAAGTGAAATTCTCAGACCTCGTTCCACAACTAACTTTTGTTACTGGTACTTAACATAGCATGCCTTACTTTTGCCAACTCTTGTGCATCATATCCGGTTTCATCGCAGTCTTTACTACTTTGAAGAAGCCATAGGATATTCTTTCAAACGCAAATCTTTGCTGCAGGTATTCAAATAGTTGGAGAGGGGTTATCGTAGATTTCACCTCGATTATATGTACCTTATTAAGCTATGAACTGTATGCTTACTCTATTTATAATACCATCTTAAAATAGTTAAACAGAAACCAAAGTTTTTATTGATATCCGATGCATTTTAATTTCGTTTTGAAAACTGAAATTTTATTACAATGCTGATAATTAATCCTGGTTTCGTTAAAAATTTAGTCAGTGAGGTATGCTATTACATTAGACGACGTATAAAGCGTAAATCTAAGTTGCGATGATACAATAAAACAGCAATTGGTATAAACGTAACGCAATATAAGTACAAACTGTTTACTTTTATGTTGTGCACTCTAGTTGGTTACTTTTTGGCCTATAAAATAATACTAAATTATAATATCCTTGATAAATACTCATGTCCAAAATTAATTCGGTCACAAAGCGTGCTCTTGCGAATAAAACCCATGCCAACATTCGAGACGGCTGCGAAATGGATCATATTCTTTGTAGCTTATTTAATTGTGGCATTAAGAATCCGCACTATGCTGGAGGAAACCATATGACTGATATCGATGACCTTAAGGGTATAATTTGCTGCACATCTTCATGATAAATAGCTTTTTCTTTAGTATTTAATATACTCGTGTGTTCACGATGAACTATGTGCCTTTGTCACCATAATTAGAATTAAATCCACAGAAAGCCAGAAAAATTTTATCAACAGAGCTTGAAACAAGGTAGATCCGTATATATAAAATAAATACAGTATTATGCACGTATACATGTTATTTAGTATTGTATAAATTATCAATAATATCATTCTATTTAAATAAGTATCTTGGATAACGAAACTCTAGAATATCTTGGTGATGCAGTAATAAATTATATTTCAAGGTGTGTTCTTGTTGGCATTAATAACGTATATTTATATTTAATTTCGATTTTCTCACATACTAATCTTCGATAATCAATTTCCATCTTGTGGAGACTGGAATAACTGCTATATTTTGAAAGCTTAGACTGGACCTAATCTACGAATATTTGCTTATAACATACCGTTGATACTTTTAGCGTCGAACTATTTTTTATGTTTCCTGACCTATCGGAGGGAGATTTATCAGTGTATCGGTCAGCCTTAGTAAATAATAAACAACTGGGAAGATTAGGAAAGGTACGCTTTATATCATAAAATTAATTATTAGATACAAATTTTGTAAACAAGGTATCTTTACTTTTCAGAAACTCAAACTCGACGAATTTTTGGCTTATTCTCATGAGTACGAGCTAAGAATTCAATCTCGGAAAGCTTTTAGACAAGATCATATCTGCCTCTAATCTTCAAATAATTTCTTAGAGCCCTTAAAAACAATAATCTAGATCGCTCCATCGCTAACGGCGTAGAAGCATTATTTGGTTAAGACATTTTGTTCATTGAATCTAAATTGCAAATTTTATTCTTAATTTTAATAGTATTTCATTTTTATAATGTACACCAGGTGCAATGTATTTGGAAAATGGACTTGATAGAGTCCGAGAAATTTTTGGCAAGCTAACATTCGATGACGATGTAATACGAATCCACTGTCATTTAGCGAGAGTATTTAAGTACAGTTATTTTATTAATCAAACAATACGTTTTATTACGCGCAGAGTGAACTTATGGGAACTTGGATGAATCTTGTAACGCACCCATTGCAGGTGAGCTGTTTCAATATTCAGTTACAAACTAGCTTATATTTCGAAACACTAAACTCTTTCTTGGCAATAGCTTATCTGTATTACTGTCTAATGCTTTATTGTTATTATGCACCGCTGTAGGAACAGTTTCCAGACGGTGACCGAATATTGATTCCGAAATCTCAGTTTTTGCAGGTTAAATAACTTAAACACTGCCATGATTGTTTCGTGATAAGGTTTAATAAAAGTAATTCAACCGGCTATTTATATCGCTATCTAATAGGGTTTAACCGATTTTGAAGAATCGATCGGTGTCGAATTTAAACATATACGGTTATTAGCTAAAGCGTTTACCCATCCATCAGCTGGATTAAATCATTTAACAATGTGCGTTATAAATTCTTACGTCATTTGATATTTCGATTATACTGAAGATTTAATGTTATTTGTTTATTTGTCCAGAGGAGATTATCAAAGGCTAGAATTTCTTGGAGATGCGATCTTAAGTTACATGCTAGCTTCACATGTATATCGCCAATTTCCACATTACCGTGAAGGTCATCTAAGTGTAAGATAATTGCTTGACTTTTGACTTTAAGCGATTTAAAAATTTAGCATAACATTTGGTGGATATTCCATCATAATTTTTAAGATTTTAAGGAGTTCACTTTCCAATAATGAATTACAAAGTAAAGTCGCTGAGGATTTGTTGTTGGATAAGTATTTGTATACCGGTGTGAATGACCGAGATAAGGTAAAGATTATACTACCTTTGTTTTGCTAACTTAGATAGAGCATACCGTATACGAATGATTCGTCATTAAGCAAAGTTGTTGATTTTTAATCTTTTGTTGGTAGATTTTACATTCAAAGCGACAAAAGATCATGGCAGACATACTGGAATGTAATTAGCTGATAGCATTTTGAAAAGACATTATTTATTAGTGTTTTTAAAAGTGCTCTATTTACGAAAAATGATGAAAATTATCATTTTACCCGATTTTAACTTTATGTAGCTTTTATTGGGGCATTATTCATCGATAAAGGGATATCATACGTAGAAGCCTTTTGCAGTGTTTGTTTTTTTTCAAAAATTAAGGTACTATTAATAGAACTTCACTAACGATAACAATATATTATTTTTATAGATTGCAACTACAGTATTACAAGAATGAATTTCTTAAGTGATACTGTTAAGACTAAATGTATCTATTTGAGCTTGATTTAAGATTTTCATCTTGATGTAGGATATAATTCCCGATCTGGGAAAATTCGATCCCAAGTCGAGACTAAATAATTATTGCATTATGATGCGTAAAACTAATAAGCAACCAGAATATCCAAAATATGTGTAAGGGTGTCAGTTTACAGTATAAGTAGAATAATTAAAACGAATTATTAATTCACTACTATTTGTTTTAAAGCGTAATCAGAAATTATAGCTTCGGAAACCAAAGAGAATTTACAGGTATGTTGATAATAGTAACAGTCATAATGAAATTTTGGATGCTAAAAATGTGTTATTTAGCAATAGCGATGACTCTATGATTCGCTCTTTTGTCTGTTGTCAGTTGAGGTCCACTTACATGGAAAATGTATAGCTACAGGTATTGGAAGCAGGTAAGCATAAATGTATTAGCATGTAGCATGCAATTATGTAATTTACTTTTTTACTGATTAATTTTGTGTTATTTAAAACAGTATTAAAATGGCAGAAAAGAATGCAGCATCGAAAGCCTTAGAAAGTGGTACAGTCATTTCATAATTACTATATAAATAATATCTTAGCTGTTTTTCTTCCATAAATATTACTGGATTATTTATGCTAATACTAAGTACTCCTATGTAGACCTATTTAAGGAAGTCGTGACAAGATACTCAAAAACAGTTCAGAAAGGCTGGAAGAAGAAAGTGTCATAACTTAATTGAATTTTCATTCTATTTGTAGCAAACTCTGTATTAACATGCAAATTTACATGATGTTAGGATAGGTATTTTTATTGAAACTATAAGATACTAGTAGAATAATTTATTACGATTTTTTTTAAACTTAATCTGTTCAAAATTTCCATTAGCAAGGTTATACATTGATCTTATTTGATTATTGAGGTAAGATTTATGTTTTATTTTTTCTAGGCTCTTCTAAGTGTTTAGCACGACGTTGTTACTCGTCATTTTAGTCAATTAGAGATCTTTTAAGAAACTATGTAAAATTAATTTAAAAGTTGTATTATTTCTAAGTTTCTATTTTATGCAAACGATTGAATAGGATCAAAAGTTGATTGTACTGGTTTCATTATTTTTATTAATTAACCATATGAGGAAAGTCGAAATTGTTTGATGAAATTTTATATTTTGAAGAAGTGTTGCAATATAATTGCTGTACAAATTATGCTGCTGTGTATGCTATTATTACAATAAGAACATTCTATTTAATAAGAGCTTAATTACAAAATTATTAATCGGCTGTTTGCCGCATTGATTTGTCAAATATTATCAGTATAAATAGTCCTACGTTGTAACGTTGAATTTTATTTCAACTTGGTTAAGCTATCTTGACTATTTCCGCTATGATCAAGTTCATATAGCTAGAAAACGTCGTTTACTGCAATTTAAGTATAAAGATATATCATCATACATTTGATAAATGCGAATTTTAAATGGACTATATACAAATTCGAAGCAGTAGGCTAATAGATTGACAATAAAAACCAAGCCTGGCATTTTGAAATACTCGAACGGATATTTATAGTTATTTATAGTCTGCGTAAAGATCTTGCATTTTTTTAATGGATTTCTCCCAACAGACTGCCCATCGTTCTTCCTTTATTAAAGACGTCTCCAATTCTTTTTCGATCAATTCAATAGACTTTTTAAAATACTGATGATATTCCTAGTGTGTTAAAATATCATACAAATTGTCAATAATTAAATCATCTAGTTATCATTGCATGCGACCCGCATCAGAATCAGCGTTAATGATCAAATTGTAGAATTTATGTACCTTATAAGCCTGGTCACGAGCAACCACTACAGCTTTATGCGCTTTACTAGTTTTGCGGGTGAAAGTTGATGGAAAATGTAAGAAATTGTTAAGGAAAACACTGTTTTTATCAAAATGTTAATTGCAAAATAGAATTTTCAGCTATTTGATTGAGATGAATGTGCATTCATAGTAAAGGATATGTTGAGTATCTGATTCTTCAGCCAGCGTTAATTCATTCGATGGTAGGCCTAACCATGTAGTCGCGATTAAAAGGCCAACATCAATTTCATCGTTGCTCTTGTCCGATTCTATAAAAATGAATTAAATCATAATGATAAAAAAGGTAATTAGAACTTTAAGCGTTATCATCGAAATCTTGGAAAGTTTCAATTTTTAGCCACAAGGTTGCATATGTTGAGAACATACTTTCATCGGCTGTTTTCGGTTTTGCTCTCAGTCTATGTCTCATCAATTCTATAGCGTTATATTTTTTCACCTCACCTATAGGTCATAGAATCGATTAGCCAGAAAGTCTTTATTTTACTACTACTACTTATTAATTAGAATTGGAAAATGAACGTATGCATATTTGCTAAAATCACGTTTCCGAAATAGCTACTATAATATCTTGCTATTGGGCTAATAGATAGAATTGCGGCTCATTATAAGTGTAAATAAGATCTTAATTGCTTACCGCTATCCATGGTGATAATATCATCTGGAATGTAAGCTTCGTCAAAATAGAGAAGTGTCCGAGAAGAGAATTTAGATAATTCTTCTAAGAACATGGAGGCATAGTAGACTTCGCTTTCCTGCGACGTAACAAAAATATCATGATTATAAATTGAAGAACTAATATTATGTATCGAATAGCATTTAGACGAATTTAGTTTAAGACTAATTTATTCGTAACACTATTCCAGTTTTTGTATATCTTGCTCTCATGAAGAAATTTTTCCATTTTATTCTACCTTTTGCGTTGAAGCAATGGATTTAATTAAATCGATGACTTCCGTCTGCCTTCTTTTTTCTTTAGTGAGTAATTCATTCAGCTCTTGAATATTTTGCGGATGGCCAAGGCTAGGTCGTAGTAAACTTTCATTATCGCCCTATTCAAGTGAAATGATTGCGATAGATTAGCAACAAGAGCAATGACATGTAATTCAAGACAATAATATTCCATGTTTAGTGAAGGACCGCAATTTTGCTCTATTTAATCCTGCTATGAAAGTACTGCAAAGGATTAAAGGCTAAGGTCAAGATATTCTAAAGAGATACCGAAAATTTCCGTGAAGCACTCATAATAATTAAGCCAAATAACTTTAACATTCATTCTATTAGAATAGCAACTAAATTGAAGATATTCTAAAGAGACAGTAAGGCCCTGCGAAACATCAAAATTAACCCTCTGAAAGTCCTAATATTGTTAACTTTCATCCTATTCAACCTAATTGGAAATTACTGCGACAAACTCATGGCTAAAGTAGATGACGTCCTAGAGAATATTAGAAGCTTATGAATAGTCAAAACCATGCCATAACCTTTTTCATTTCCTATATATATTTAGGCTAAAGCAAAGACATTCTAAGAAAGCCTGGAAAGGAATGGTAGTTTACCTTTTCAGCTTGTAATGGCTGAAGTTTAGCATGCAATTCTTCGCGAACATTAGCCCGAGATAGTTGAGCATCATTACGATAGCGTTGCAAGATTTCTTTAATCACTGGCTCTGGCACATATTGTAGGCAGTTTAGAAAGCTAATAATTTGCGTATGTAGTTCTAATCAGAGAAGAAAGCATTGAACATTTAGACGAGTTGATTCGGTGACGACAGAATTAGTATCGTCATTATTTGAATGCATTGATGGCCATTTCTGACCTTTAATACAAGACTTGTGATATTCATCGCTTTGGTTATGATAAGACTGTAAACGTTGGGTAAGGGATTCTGCACAAGCTTCGAAAGATTCTGCAACTTGTTCGGGTCTTGTGATATTTTTCTGGGACTTTTGCCTATAGTATAACTGTTGGTAGAATAAAAAAAGAAGCTCCGTGAAACTCTTAAAAAAATTTTATATCAATCTCGTCTTGGCAGTAGCCATAGCATAAGAGTTCTTAGGATTTTAAACTCACATCCGAGGTTGTCAACAGCGAATCCAATGATTCACGAAGGATATTTTTAATTACCACCATAAAACCCCTACATCCAAAATTGAATATCATTCATAGTATTAGAAAGGATTTAAGAAATAAATGGAGTCTAAAGGTACCTACTTTCTCGATGGTCTTTGCTCGTCTCCATCGTTCTTTTCCCCGAAAATGAGATATTTCTTGTCGATTTTGGTGCCAAATACAAACTGAGCACTTCGAATACTTGATCGACTGTTTAAGCTTAAAATGGAGATACAATTTAGCCCTTCTAATATGAGGCATAGAATTATAATTGAGCCCACGCAGAAATAACAACTTACCTCTCATTAGCACTACGGGCGCGATCTATATCGGCGCTTCCCATCTTACTAAAACTATGAGCCTGTAAAAGTAGAAGAGACCATTTCTAAGTTATAATTCATCTATAACAGATAGGAACATTTCAACGTGTATTTCTGCACGAGAATCAAAACTGAAGACATCGATCTATTTATTCTAGAGAGGAAATTGATTCCTTTCCTCAGCAAGCTAGTGTAAGTATAATTATGGCAACAAGTATTCTCGATCCAAATACAGTAACTACTTTCCATCAACTCTAACTACGAGCAAGCTAAACGCAATCGCCTATTTTACAAGCTTATAATTTATTAGTAATAGACAAGATAGACATTTGTTTAGTTATTTGCTTAGAAAGATTCATTACGTTTTCCTAATAAAATGATCGCTAAATATGAACTTATTAAAGTATTAAGAAGAAAATGGATCAAGACTCCAAAATTGTCGCTCAATATGAACTTAATATAGGTATAATTATGCTTTAAGTATTGGCGAGAAAATAGATCATGACTCTTATTTATTTGTATAGAATAAAGTTCCTTCTCCTATCAAACTTATAGCTAAATATTAACGTAATATAGGAATTAATATGGTTAAAGTACTGAGAAAAAATTGGATCAAGACTCTATTTTATTTCTATTGGACGAAGTTCCTTCTCATACCAACGTTGGGGCTAAAATATTAACGTAATGTAGGAATGAACATGCTTAAAGCATTGAGCGGAAATTGGATCAAGACTATTATATTTCTATAGGATGAAGTTCCTTTTCCTATCGAAATTGTGGCTAAATAAATGCGCAAATATCAAGGTAATGCAGGAATCAGTATGTTTAAAATATTGGGGAAATGTGAAATCAAGACTCTGAATTTCTTTCTCGTACCAAAGTTATCGCTAAATATAAAACTTAATGTAGGCACAATCGTATTTAGGGTAAACGGATTAAGACAAGGATTCATTAAACGGAAAAATGATATAAGTAGTACAGTAGTTAACGAAATGACTTTACCTTGACCAGTTTATCGCCAGTCCCTTCTCGATGGCGTTTCTTTTTCGATTTGCCCATAGACTAGATTGGATAATTCGTTCTCCATTAGAGGAATCTTGATAGAGTTAACAAACTAACTAGATTACTTTACCTTGGATCTTTTCTTTTCAGATATCCCTCTATCTACTTTGAGTGTTTCTAAAGGAGTAGGTGGGCTCGCTTAAAGGATTTAAGAAGCAAGAGAGAACAAATTAATACAATCATCTTCTTTGCATAAATTACAACCAGAATATATTACAAATATATGGCATGGATCACAAGTAATCCGCCATAACTACCAGGAAAATTCTAACCAACCTGCACTTGACTCTTCACGTTCATCGGTCTCAGTCGTGTTTGGTGGAACCTTAAAACGCTTTTTGGCTTTTAAACGCTGCTTAGTATGCCTAATTTGCAAAGAAAAAGACCGCCATTATATAATTTTGCCTTTTAAATATCCCATAAAACATTTCCAATACAGACTAAAAAGTAACTTAATGAGCTTCGATCCGTTAGAGTATAGCAACTCTTTGAGGTTCGACTAGCTATTCATTTATCCAAGTCAAACGTCTTCTATTCCTTCTACTGTACTTTAAACCATCATGGTATATAGCAAACAAGACAATTGGGATATAAAACGAACCTGCTTAATTTTTTAGCTGCTTTTAGAGAAGTAATGGAAGTAGAAATACTTGGTTCACCACTTGAATCAACACTCGAAGCCGTCGGTGGTGCTCCAAGAGAAGATTGATTAGCTGGACTTTCACTAACTGGCTCAACTTCTTTTTGACAAGAGAGATAATCTACTCGATCTTTAAAACTATGAAAGATTTCTACTAGACTATTATAAACCTCAATGGAAGAGATTTGCTTTAGATAAAGAGTGGGAGAGAAGATAGAATGGACATTAGGTAAATATCCATAATGAATCAAATCTTTGGCCGCAAATCTATTTCACCTCTTTATCCATGTTGGGATGATTAACTGCATCAATTCTCTTCTCCAGTTGATCTAAATATTTAACTAATTTTTGTGATTGGCTGTTACTATCAGCAACCTAGAATAGGATAAATAGAAATGGCTATAAATACTCTATTCTCGGAAATATTTCTTTTAATTGGAAATGTCCATTAAGACTTTGCATCGTTCACTATTTTATCGGATTTACCTCCGCTTTAATCTTAACTTCGGTGTTGGTAATGAGACGAGCAACCTTCTCGATATAAGTTAAATCATAAAGATGATGCTTTGACCTAAAATAAAAGGATAGCATTTAACAGACAGCCATGGTCATGTCTAAAGTTGCATTAACTACCAATAGATCATAGGCATGAGATAGAAGAAAGTTCAGATAGCAATCAAAATGGAACTAACTTATGGTAAGTTGTATAACGTCATATTCAGGTATCAAAGCTGCTACAAATATCAATGAACTAGGACTAAGATTAAAATATCTCCAATATGGATTACTAGTATCAACGGCAGATGACTATTCGATTGGCGAATGAATAATAAACTGCAAATTTTTCTACATACACGTAAGTATAAGATAGTAATAATATCTAGATTTAAAACAGATTAATTAAAGTGATTGGCAAAAGTATCCATTGAGACAGCAAGCAACATTTCCTCAGTATTGCTATCTTATATGGGCAGTCATGAGCTAACAACGACTTTCTATCTCGATCAGTATATCTGTTCTTAGATAGATTCTATCTTATATTTAATATAGAGTAAGGAATTCCATCTTATTACTTGTCTAAAAATTTGCTCGCAATTTCATTGGCATTTTCAAGTCGTTTCGTTTCCATTCCTTCGAGATCGGCTAATATTAGGCCCTCCTCTTTATCAATCTTTCTGGAGAGCTTTTCCTAATGGCGTTAAATAGAAATAACCATAAGAGAGAATAGAAGCCGATCGTTGCTTAACAATATTGGAATTTACCTAGCTATTGGTAGTACTTACGAGTTTCTTCCTGAATTCATTGACTTCATCTGGGCAAAAATTACCTCCTTCCGAGAACAACCTATCACATATAACATCAAAATCAGACTAGATTATCGACGCTAGCTATTACCATAACCTTTAGGTACTATAACTAAAAATAAACTCTGGTCTCTCTTTACTTGAAAGATTTCAAGAATTTAGCGTTGGAATCTCTTAATTCAGTTAGGCGATCATCTAGTAATCGGCGGAATTCACGAATGGATGAACGGATTCCATGAATAAACTGTCCATGGATAAGAAGGAATAATATTTAAGAATTATACCTAGACTAGTAGAATATACAAATTTTTTTGTTGCTTACGCTATCCAACTGGTCTTGGACATCTACTTCAATCGCGACCAAGCTGTTAAAGAATAATAAGATTTCTTAACGAATCGATTAAAGTTCAATGCCAGAAAAATACTTTGGAAAATAATAGATCAGACATACTGTGCAGTTTTACGTGCTGATGTTAATTTTGGCTCAAAAGCTTCGATAACATGAAGAAATTGATCAACCTGGCGAAATGAAATTGAATAGAGTATAAGAATGAGAATCATCCATTCGAGAAAAGATTTGAAATAGAAGATTGGCGTATGTTAACTTACATCCACTTGGTGAGTAGCCGAAAGATCAGTAACTTTAGCTCTTTCTTTAGTCAAGGATCTTGTTACAGCAGTAACATGTTCTCGTAATCGTTCGCGATGTAATAATAATTCAGCTAGATAAAATAGAAAGTTTATATTGACCAAGAAAGATACGAATAGAAAGTATTAGGTCATGAAATAGATCTATCTTCTCTGATCCTTACAAGCTCGAACATTGTGGACGTCATATTCGATGCGACTAGTCCGCGGTCCATGTAAGTGTAATCTTAATTCGAGTTCACTATCGAGTTCTTTGACCTATAGTTAAGAATAAAGACAAGAGATTAAAATCTAAGCTAGCTATTTCTACAAAACATGATAATTGATTAACGACGATCAAAGAGTTACTTATTGATATATTTCCAGTATGAATTTTTACCTTTGAAGTAACGACATTATTTGCTCTTTCCATAGCTTGTTCTCGCCATGCCATCATATGCTCCAAGAACGTCTTTCGAACGCTAAAAAACCAAAAACGATTAGATATTAGTACAAGGCGACAGTGATGATATAGGATTGAAATAGAGTATCATGCAAGAAAAGATTAATTATTATCAATTCTGGTAGTAAACTTCTAAGGCATTTGGGATGATTTTACGTTAATTTTTTTTACTTACGACTATTATAAATAATTATAAATGCGAAGCTCCAGCATAGTTATTTAAAATATATAAATATAGCTTTGAAGATACTACTGTACTATAGCCTAGTGATGATTTTTAAGCTAATTTTTCACTTTAATCTGGCTACTAATAATAAAAATAGGAATAGTAAGACGATATTGTTTAATTACTTGTCCTAATTTTGATCTATGTTAGGTGATAATCGCTCAATTGATACATACAAAGCTTTCAAAGACAATATGAAGGAATTCTTGATGGCTATATTTTCCGAATAGTCTCGAATCTCATTTTGATTAGCATCGACTAAAAATAAAATATTAATAGTGTTATTCTACTTGATTAATGATCGATTATACTTTATACTAATTGCTTTATCGCTATCAATTTAAGATGTATTTTTCCCAAATAATTGCCGACATTACTTGGAAGGCTACCATTGTCCATTAAAGATAGACATTATTATTACAAGTTATATCACTGAACAGAAGCTTTACCGTCAGCTGGAGGTTGTAGAGAAAAGACTGAACTTTCGGGATTGAATCCATGCTGGTGTGGCGAAGTGACGATATAGAAAGTTTTACCATTGGATAAGGAAAGTGCCTCAATAACACTGTCAGGCAAGATTTTCTCTTCTCTACCCCTTTTACTAGGTCTTCTACGCCGCTTTTTGATCGTTATAGCATCTTCATCATCACCAAATTGCTGAATCTATCCATGAATAATCATGTCAATTTCATAATACTACATAAAATCGACTTTACCCATAACAAAATTCAATCTTGTTCAGGAGATACTCAAGTATTTAAGTAAAAGTATTTAAAAAGTAAGAACATATAGTGCTCATTACATCAGGCTTATGACGAATTAGACCAAAATATTTTAAAACGTTGTCCTCGTATTTTTTCAACTCATTTTCAATAATTTGTGTATAATTCTTAACGATTGATTTTTGCTCTTGTTGAAATTCGATATAACTAAATTCACCATTAGCATGAGAAAAAAGAAGGCAGATTAATCATGATTAAATATCTGCTTACATCAGATATCATTTCTATGTTTACCCTTGGCGGACTTCTTCCAGAAATTCATAACATTTATTGAGGTTTCGTTGAAGACTTTCTTCTGAATAATCTTGTCGCATCCTGTCTAGTAGAATATCAAGGCTAGCTTCCTTTTCCTATCGTGGATTAAGATTTCATGATTAAACACTGCTCATGATCTAAATCTGGCATAAAGCAAGCTAATATATCACCTGGTTGGATGCATCGTGAGCCAATCGACCTCGTTCAAGTTCAGACTAATTATTCAGGTAAGACCGAACAAATACCATCAATACCAAATACTAATAAGTCCTTAAATCAACAGAATATAATGCTTGCTTCTACTACCTTTAAGGCAGTCTCTCGGTTAATTAAGGCTGTTTCATGCCCATCCCATATATGAGCAATCCCTTGGACAAACTGAAATACCTTCATAATTTGCTCTTCTTGTGTAGGTAATAAATCATGAAAGTGATTCTATAAATCAAGACAACAAGTCAAACTATAATTTGGAATTGATATGTTTTAATACGATTAATATCGATATATTATGATAAATAATTAATTAATACTACTCTATCATGCAGATTTTCTATGAACTGTTGCATTATTTTATACTTCAAGAGGTTATTTAATATTGTAATATGTGTAAACTACTTCAAGGTTTAGAGTTTTTCCACTACACAACATTATTTGGTACCCTAAGATGCTGTCTTGATACAATCTTGAGCAGCCTAATAATACCTCAATAGCTCTCATTTCTTGACGATATCGTTGCTGTCTTTCATCCAATAAAGGTAAAAAGTTATTTTTTATGATCTAATGAGGAACACAAAAGTTACGTCAGTAATAAAACATTTATTTTCTCTAGTTACAAGAGTTTATCTTTAAATTAATTGAACTCCACACTTACGATATAAATTTCTTCTTTTTTACAAATTCCTTCCGTAGCTAATAATTCCTATGAAATAAACACCGTGCCCATTTCGACATATTAGAATTCCATTTCTTTTGCAACTGCAGCATGATCATTATCTATCAGATTAATCCAACTATACCTGATGTTCGGACATTTCGTTTAAGCAAGCATCGTATGCATGATCGTATTCTTCATATAACCTTCTTAAATATTTATTGTGTAACGAAGCTGAAAGGAATCGTCAAGGTAAGCATTCAATTCCATTAAGCCGATTACAATTTAGATTGTATGGACAGAATCGTCTTGTAAGAGAACTAGAACCGACTTACCAATCCTTTTCGTAACGGTTATCATGGCCGATTTCCACTGCGCCACAGCGTTTTTAGTTGATGCCGGTGGTTTAACATCTCTGTTATTGAAAAGTAGATGAAAAATGATTATGCAAATATAGATTTACCTCTCCAATTATAATTATGGTATAGAATCAAGTTTATGAAGTACAATGTTTGCTTATTTCGAATAGACTACTTTGCATGGGTATGGCTAGAGATTCTTACCGAAGAGTGTCGAGTAAATGTAAACGTTTCGTATTAATTGTTCGCTGTTGTTCCTTAAGCTTGTTAATTTCTTCTCTAATATTGGCAGGATTATTTAATGCAAGATCTTTCATGTAGGTTCTATGAGAGTTCGGATAAAAACGAGAAAATAAGAAAAAGAATTTTTTCAGCTTACATAGATAAGCAAAACAATTCATTTATTAGGATATAGAAATAGCGCATTATTACTCAAAACTTTGAATGATGGCATCTTTCTTTAATCTTCTCCAGTCTTGTACACGTTCTTGCCATCGTAAACGTTGTTTATATTCTCTTTGGACATCAGCTAAGATGGAGATGATGGTAAGAGTCAATTAGGCGTCCACAGAATATTAAAATAACCTACGGCCATTTTCGAATTGGATCATTTTTACCTGTTAGTAATCTTGCAAATAACTCAGCAAAGGATTTTTTATTCGCTAGAAGGGACATATTGATATGCTGTAAATGAAAGCTGATGATTAGTTTCTGATTTGATGGAATGAGCGATATGGACTCTTAAAATGAATCCTAATACAGTAGTGTAAAGGTAAGGCAATCTGATGATCCTTACTTGGGCTTCGTCGTCCAATAATCGTTCAACATCAGCTGTTAAGATATGAGCAGTTTTAACCAATTGCTTTCCATAGGTGTGTAGAATCTTGATTAGCTGTCGAAATTTAGTGTATAGTCCATAAATAAGTTTTATAATGTTCTGCTTTTAGATTGTTCGGTGGTAAAAAATGGACTTTTATTTACCTGTTTACTTCTTTCAACTTCAATCGAATCCAATTCCTCATCTAGATCATGCATCAGTTTCCGTCTTGGTTCGGAAATTGATGCAACTTGGTTCCAGATTTCATTTAGATCGCACATAGAGTACTTTACCAATATCTATTAGCATTAGAAGTGGATACTAAGATTATATTTCATCACAGCAGTTACACTTAGATCACATCAATTTGAAACTTGAACAGAAGAGACTAGGGAATTTAATTCCATACTAACTTCATCATCAGCTAATCGATTCATTAATAGTTCCAGTTCTAGTAGTTTGAAGGTTGAAAGTTTAGTGTGTGTTACTATTTCAACAAGTTATAAATAGCATTCGATTCAAACCTTTATCACTTTCGGCAAGACGTTCTTTTAATATAGAGCAAGCTTCAAGAATTTGATTTTCATAATTCTATTGAAGGTGCGAAATAAAATCAATTTTATCTCATATCCATTTTAAGAATTAAAAATATTTTAAACAGTTCTAATATCAAATTGTATTTACCCTGCTAACCATCCCCAGTTCTTGATAAAAGTCATCTAATAGGTTTTCATGCCTGTAAAGAAATAGAGAAATAGATGAGCATATAGAAAGTATAATCATAATTTAAAGGCATGTCGTCCATAGCTTGGTGTAACTATAATGGATTAGCTAGCATCAGTACTGACTTACTTTACATAGCGGTTGCGATTAATCTTTTCAATCGTATTAGTTTGTATTCCTGTTTTGGCTAATATTACATTAAGCGGTTTAAGGAAATTGACTTAATCAAGAGTAAATAATATACGCCAGAAGTTACTAAATTACCAGGTTTATCTTGTAGTCTAGTGACATCCTTGGCGGCTTTATAGCTTTCTGATTCTTCAGAAAGTTTTCGCTCGGCCTCTAGTTGTTTCCTATATAGATTATGCATAATTAAATCTTAGATTCAATCTTACGAATGTAATAGTCATTCAATAGTATCCTTAATATTTTTTACTTCAAATAAACAGGATTTTCGACGCGTTCATCGTTTAAGTTGCTAAACAGCCATCGCTTTTGACGATCTGTTAGGATTCCATTACCCAAGACTCCTCGAGATTCTCGAACAAGGGGAATACTGTTGGGCTTTTCTTGTATAGGAAATGATGTTCTTTCTTTACTTAGTGATTTAACAAGATCCACCTAGATTTTAGCAGATATTATAATGATTATTTCCCTTACTAAAATAATATCAGTTGTGCAAGCATAGAGAGGAATTCGATGGTAGTGAGACCTTTGCGTATACTAGCAGTAAATCCATTTCACAAATGCAGACATAAACAAACGGAAGAGAAACGGTTCAATGGAGGATAATTGAATACTTTATAAAAGCACTAGCTTAAAGGCATACATAATATGTAAATAATTGAGACATGTAAACTCTTATACCGGTATAATGGCAAATTTTTCAAGATTAGTGCATCAACTATGCTATTAACTAATGACGCACTATCAAGTAGCGTTGCGGTAATGAAAGCTAAAAATTGTCAGTATGCAATTTTACAACTGATGTGAAAGCGGACGTTGATGAAGTCAAAATAGAGCTATAGAGTATAAGCAAATCTTACGTTACTTGACAAAAATAAGGTTTCTAAGAAAACGATAATCACTTAAAAGTTGTAGAAGAGGCTAAATATGCTATGTAAACTTCACACAACTATGACTGTTATGGTTGTTACGCCAAGAAACAGCTGATGAAATTGACTAGATATATCAGATATCAAATTATATGACAAACTATATATTAATTTATTACATTTTCTTCATTTTAATTAGGGGTAATACGCTGATGGCAATTTATTAATGCAAAAAGCTTGCCAGAACAGACTTTGAGTTGTACATAACTGGAACTTGAACTTATATCATCGCTTGGCAATGACTCTTAGCAAATTACTTACACAGTTTTACTAATATTCGAAATCGATTTCAGAATAGAACACAAACTATAGATTATCATATCAAACAAATATTCCCTATAAAATCAGCTGAATCAGTATATATCTACTACATTTCGTGATTTGATCGGTGCTCGAATTTCACTTATTATCGTAACTGCCTATTGAGTACGGTAAGTTATCATTTAGATTGTAAGTAGACTGTAACTAGTATTATGAAGTTTTGGAATTACAACTTCTTTCATCTGAGCATTTATTTGCTCCTATTAATTGGCTACTCTCGAAATTTCATGTAATATTTCAGCTGTCTACTATAAATTATGAGTAGATTACCTATCGCAAACTGAATTATTTCTAGCAATAAGGTTAAAAGCTATAAATTATTTCATGTGTTAACCTTTACATATTAACGAATCATTTTGACAATTTTATTATAGTCATCTCTAAAGCAAACTGTGAACAAGATCATTTAGCAATTAATAGGCATTTTCTTTTATTTGAGTGAGAAAAATGAGAAGATTTTCTATTTCATCATTCCATCAGTATATTGTAAATAGTTAACATCAATTATGAATTACCTCAGCATCGAATAACTTTTTATAAACATTCTTGGTAGTCACTTGGCGAAATTTCTTGGGAATAGTATTAGTAGTAGCCATCCTTACTTATATTACCTAGACAATAGAATACCTTTTAATCTAGCAAGCTGCAATGACTCTACTACATATGCAGTTCAGTTCTTAATAGAGCAAATAACAAGTAAAGCAATTGCTATAGACTTTATGCTTGTGTAATTCTACTACCGATTTAAATCCTTTATAAAATGAATAGCTAGATGGTAAGTAAAATCGTTACTATACTAATCATCAATAACGAGATGATGAACTTACAATAAATCAATAGTATCATCTAGTTAGTAGCGTTGCTACGGTAACCATGACGACTGCGCAGTCGATCTCGTCTTTCAGGTGACCGTGTTGGCCAGTGCCACGCCTTGCCCGGAATTCTATATTACTTATACTTATTAATTAACTAAACCTGCGAGGAGAGTTTTAATTGACCGAAAATTGCATAGTATCTTTTACTACGTATGTTTAAGATTGAAAATCGAATGCATCAGCTCTTATTAAGATATAGCTAAGAGCTGAATTATTTGACAAGCTTCACAAACTAATAATTGACCTCTCGTTGCCATATAAATTGGTTATAAGTTACGCTATTGTAAATGTTTAGGATATACTTATTAATTGAACCCGCAAAGAAGGCTTTAATTAACAGGATATCTCATAATATCTTTTATTGCGTCGTTTAGGATTAAAAATTGGATGCACCAGTTCTTATTAATGTATAGACAAGAGCTGAATTATTTGACGAGCTTCATAAACTAGTAGTTGACCTCCCTTGCTACACAATCGGTAATTAGTTAAGCGATTGAAAATATCTAGGGTATACTTATTAATTGAACCCGTAAAGAAGGCTTTAATTAATAGGATATCTCATAATATCTTTTACTACGCCTTTTTAGGATTAAAAATTGATTGCATTAGCTCTATCAAGATATGGCTAAGAGTTGAATTATCTGATGAACTCCACAAACTAGTAATTGATCCCTCTAGACATACAAACGGCAATAAGTTACACGATTGAAGATTTCACCTATAATAAACGTGCAATACATGCAGCAGCATGTTTAAGACTATCATATTGATTGGAAAATATAATTACTGTAAATGGTTCTTAGTCTTAGTATGCTTTTTATTTATAACGTGTACTATTTTCGTGATACAAGATGGCTAGCATGTATATTATTCTAGAAAATGTGTTGAATACTTAATATTTCGAAAACAGCTTATATGAAGTAATTCTTGATTGATCAAATAAAGAATTTATAGATACTGATCATCGGGAGAGAATAAAGCAGCCCTTACGATAATATTTTAATATCAATCAAAGTAACATGTAAAACAATTTGCTATACCAGAGTATTGCAAATTCTACATGCAAGTGTAACATCAGGTTTAAATACCCGGATACCTTGAATGCTAGCGCAACCAAACTAGTACTTATTACTGTTATTAGCCAATTGTAGAAAGTAAATTTTTACTCTTCGATATATGATAAATGAAAGCCTTAATTATGGCTAGTAAACATTAGTTACTATTTGCACTCTATAAGATACGTTCTACTGGATCAGATTAGCAAATTTAAATTACAATTGCAAATTTCGATACTATTTCAGACAATACATAAATGTATTTATCTTAACCTTGCTTTGTATTTCATAATCCATTGCCTGAATAATTCTTAGTCAGATTAAAATCACAGACGATCTCGTATCTCAATATCTTTCCAAAATGAATGAGCATTTTGAAATCTGACTTTACTCCGGCGATCTAAACTAGGTGTATGAAAATAATGATTTTGCTTGGTGTCGTGGCTGTCGATAAATAAATTGTTGTCGATGCATTTACTAATGACTTTGGAGACAATTCCGCTGATTGATTTTGCTTTCAAATCAGATACATTTCCAGCCAGAGATTTCTTGCCTTCATCATTATAACTCTTAGTCGATTCAGAATCTATATAATTTTGTAGCTCTATCTCCATATCGGGCAGTCTTTTATGGCTAGCGGCTTGATCCGGAGATGGCGAGAGGCGTCGAATTAATTGAGGGATACGACATGGAATAGAGTTATAGTGAACTTGACTTTTGACTACTTTTGAAGAAATAGGCGTTGAATAGAGGTAGTTTTTATTAACCAGAATGGGAATACGCGAGGGATATGGCGTGGCATAACATGGTTTCTCCATAGCTGAAATACAAGTAAATTGGCTTATTGCTAATTTATCTGAATAACTTGAACGTTGACAAGTTCTCAATGTTAATCTACTAGTTCTAACGATTTTAATACCTGTACTTCTTGTAAAGTAGAATAGTTTATAGCACTTTCAGTCAGCAAACAATATCTACTTGAGTTATTTAACGATTTATTTCATTTTGCCCTAGTTATGCGCTGAGTCTAGACTAATAAGAAAGTGATAAATAGGACCTTTGCACCTAATTTCAATTATCTACTAAAAAGACTTTAGCCACTGCCGGTAGATAACTAGTAGCTGATTTATTATCAACATCTATATATGCTCATCCAGTATATATTACAGCATATCACATATGTACGAGTATATGTCGGTATACAAGTATAGTATATATATCACGTATGTATATTTCATAGGTGTGAAATTTCTTTTTAATGGCCAGCAACTAAGGTATTATTCCTTGTTTCGAGTTTTCTTTTCGATATGGGTCTGATTTATTTTTTACATATTTGTACACTAAAAAGAGATGATAACAGTGTGCAACATAGCATAAATAGCATTTATTTGACAATATTTAGCGACCAGATTGATATCTTGTTAGTAAGACATAGTAGCCCTAATAAGGTATAGCATAGCCTTCAATTAAAATCCGTATCAAATCGGTAGACGCTAAAAATAAATCAGGATTTTTTATTCCGCTAGATTTTAAATTACACCTTATCATTCTATCACTTTCAAATCATTGCGCTGCTTTGTAATGTTGACCTGGATCATTTAGGTAAGATCGTTTCATTATTTTGCGCATTTACTAGAGCTCGTCATGCTGGTCTGCTACCACTATAGACGAATCTTCAGTATCGCTTACATAATCTTTATCCGCAACGTAAAAAGCTGGTTCGATCAGCAGTGGTTCTGCAGAAATTGCAATCAAGTTTCGCTCAGGAAAAATTTCCTTCCAGTCTTTTCTATAGCATTAACAATTTCAAATGAGATGAAATTTAGCATATGCTAATGCATATGTAGCTAAAGTAGGTTATAGGCTGAGTAAATAATAAATAGACCAGAAACCTATCCATTGGTGGTGCAACGACGTTACATTATCTATCCTATGTTCTGTGTTTACTATTTCTGCTAATAGCAGTTTTAATGATTTGTAAATACAAAAAGAATAAATAGGGCAATTGATCAATCTAGTAGTCTAGTATATTAGTAACGTATAACCTATCTTACTGTATTCTATATAGTATTTATTGATGCTACTAGTGATAGAAACTGCTTTAAATTAATAGATTCTAAATCGGATGGCTAGGTTGTTTCATCAGTCGGAAATATTCGCTGATATAGTTTGTACCTAGGATGCTTGTCGTACATAATTGGTAAAAATTCATCGATAGCCATCATATGAGTTAATGGTTGTGATGCTAATAATTTCTTTGCACCACTAGCAGACAAGATATAACCCACCGTCCAATAAGAATAATCAGGCCAAATCAAATAATTTGCTCCTTTAACAGGTATTTCTGCTTCACTAAGTAATTTTTTCCTACCAATATAGCTAGAGAGAGAATGACCAAGAAAAAATAATAGTTCTTTTATGCTCTTAGGACATTGTAGAAAAATTGGGAATATGTACGACTTATAACCATAAATTAGTAGAAGAGGTGATGATAATAATCAACGATTTTCAGGATTTCAAGTTTGTAATGTGAATCTTATTTTAGTCTATAGAGATTTACCATAACCTAATGAGCTGCCATAAATACTAACATAATATCCCATGGTAGTGACAGCGACTGAACTTCTTGCATAACCTGGCTAAGTTGGCGATGGAAGCCCATTTTTACCTTAACGTCGTCTTCAAGGATAAGAATTGATGAATAATTGAATTGGATAACCTATTCAAGAATAAGGTGAAATATTAAGTTGGAATAGTTATGGATACCTTTGGTAGCTAATAAATGATGAAATCCATCTAAAGCTGGATGCTACTCTTGCATAAAATCACTATAACTTTTTTCCAGAGTTGGTAATGGCTCAGAAAACAACCGATTTCTCCATATTTCATAGGTCTATTATGTTGCATGAAATAATTTTATCGAATAATTAAACAAAGTTATCAAATTTTTAGCTTTATATGTATATGTTAATTTTAAGATTTGCTGGCATGACACGTAAATGAATATTATTTTCTTCGGTATAGACATAGCAAATTCTCACAATGCGCCCGTAGAACTATGTATTTATTGCTGGATATGTTGACATACAGTAGATCTTTGTATTGATGTTCTTTCTTTCGATAGACTATAAATTAATTGCTGATGCGTACTCATGCACTAATGTGTTCCTTCCGCTATACTTTATTACAATCTTATTAGTAGTTTCGTTGGCTATAGGTAACTTATTCCATTTGCAAGTATGTAAATAACGCATAATCTATTAGAGACTTTCGAATTTACCATAACGACTTTGATCATATATTCTCCGGTGGATAAATAAGAGTATTTTACAAGCTTTCATACTGTATGAATGGATAATGTTAGAGTATATTTGAGTTTTATTTCTGCATTGTTGTTAACAAGACTATAGCGTAAGTGCAATTATGTTGGTCTATAATGTAGGTGCAAACCTATCTCACCGTTGATGAAAGGGATCTAAGTAGCCAGGTAATATTTGAATGCCTAATTTAGCTATTTTTTCTTCATTTAACTGTCTGAAATAGATTAATGGTCATAGATATTTATAACAGAATTTTAAAATTAAAACATTTCTTTACGGTTTTATAGCGTTAATAGCTTAAAATAACTAAGAACAATCTTTAATCACCTGAAATAATCGACACTGATAGTAGTGAATACTAGAATAATTTTCGATCACTACGATATTTAGTACTAATTGCTTAAAAGCTAAATTATAGTAATCCTAAATATGCAATTCCTAATATCTATCCTACAGCTGCAGATACCTGCCATCGATGGCTTCGAAAAATTCAGCATCTAAACAAATTTCATCTAGTAAAGCTTTCATATATTGTCTTCTTTCTTTTCGACGCAGTAAATTAATGACATAAACCTGTAAGCACATCAATTTAAAGAGCGACTTAGGGATATAAATGAGACAAATATACGTAGAAATCTATCGTAATGTAGTTAAAGTGACATTGTATTTCTGAAAGTCTTGAATGCATAATTAGATATAGTCTGGCTGGAATAATTGGATGAAATTAGCTCTACCACATACGACATAAGATGAACATTATATTTTGAAAATGGAAAGAAACAAATTCAAAACCTGATCGAAGGGCAATTTTCCCCATTGCCGACAAGGATCAGAGATTAAATTCCATCTTGGAAATTGTATTCCATCAACTAGATATAGATATCCAAGAGAAATAAATGTCGAATTCAGCAATATCCAAAATTAACTATGGTTTTGAAATATCTTGGTTGTGAAATTTAGTTATCAGAATTTCACAGGACTAACGTAGTTGATTTAATTTATAATTCAGAAAAGATTCTCTCCTTGTAATTAGTTCCTGCACTTGTGGCGAAGAGAACAAATAACCATAAATTTTATTATTTAATAAGTGGAAGGGTATTCCTATTAAGAAAAGGAAAATTTTTAATCAATAGTTGTATTTACATTTTCATCTTCTGTCCTTGAAGCAAAGTGAAGGACAGATATAGTATATCTAAAATTTTTGCCGCAATTTAAGTACTCGTACTAGGTCAAAATCTCACTAGAATTCCATCAGGTACTTATTAACATTTCTGACGTTGAGAATAGCCAAGATAATTCTCTGAAATTCAGACTACTGACGGTATTTATTTCGAACCGAAATGTTATCTGTACAAGTCTATACTAGTTTACTATAAAAGCTTTTAATATTATTTTGAAAGTTGTAGTATTTAATTTACTCAATTATTTAAAAATTGTTTAAATTAAAGTTAATTACCTGCCATTTTAGCACTATAGGAAAAGATTAATAAATCATCTATGTGTCCCTGATAGCTTGAATGAGGAGGATAAAATGAAAACTTCTCGACGGATTTTCGATTTAAATCTATCAGAAATGTTGAGTGGATCATGGCTACTTGTAAAACTCCTTTTCTTTCGCGCTTAAGCGTGGGTAAATAATCTTCTGTCCGGCGATAGTAGCCCTTAAAAGACCGATAAGCATAATGAAAGTGAGATTTACTACGACGCACCAAAAGGCAACTAGTGGCTAAACTTACACGCCGTATACGGTATTGGAAACAAACATCTAGTTAATATAAGGGTGGAGGTAAAACTTGATTAATTAAAATATAAATTATATGCTAGTTTTAGAATCAAAAGAAAGTGCGATCAATGATAACTTCTAGGGTTACTATTGGAATTTATGCGCGACATCGAAGAGAGTAAATTAAATTGCCATCTGTAATTTTGCGTATACTGCAGGATATAACGATATAACATAATAGGATAGCTAGTCTTTCCCTTGGCGGTGTTAGGGTTAGGGTTAGGGTTCTACGTACGATAATGTTAATAGAGTAGTTGTTAAAATAAAATCATATGCGGAAGATTCTGTGCGTTTCTCCTCGCAGTGAACCGAAATACATACGATATGAGAATAAGATTTATCATAGCTAATGCAGTAAGGTGATGGGAGCAATAAAATACCTACAGTTAAAAGGTCAATCGAGAGTTATATAAGGAAGAAGCAAATATAAATATAAGGCTTCTTGAAAAATTTTTGAACTACCTGCTCATCTACGCCACACCAAAAATTAGAGTAATAGGAATGTCTAGATTCAATTAACAATGGAGCAACCATCGTTCTAAGTGAGAATAAAGCAGAGTTAGTCGCTTTCCATCGTTTTGCTTACTACAAATGATGCTAAACTAAGGTTAGCATTCTACTAATCGATAATAAATCCAGAAAATGAATAAATCATCTAGCGTTGGTATACAAGCTTCTCGTTTAATTAATAGCTATTGTATCTGTATATCCCCAATTATAGCTATCGGAACATACTCTAACGACCTTTTTCAGGTTTCTAACATGTTAGGCACTGTTTATAAGTTCTATCCTGTTACAGCTTAACTTGATAAAGTTATAGCCGTTTTATTCCGAAACTATCGGTAGAGGTTTGAAAAATTTTCAACTAACTAATTACTAATGAAATCAAGATCGAGTTTTCAAAACATTATAAAGAAAAAATTATAGTACATTCGTATTAATGACTTATAATTATAAGTAAATATAAAATACATATAATATTATAATTAACATTATATATCATAATTAGTGATGCTATGTATTTATATCGGTAATTAATAATTAACAAATAAAAAACAATTCGTTGTTATCTTCATTAAATTTAATTTATTGAATCAAGATAGAAGTCATGATTGAGTTATTGAAGCATTGTAAAGAATGAATTATTTTACCTTGACATTACAATATATAAAGATGTAATTAGTGTCTTAATTAACAAATATTCTATACAACAAATCTAGGATGTTATACATCCATACCCGTAATTAACAGTAGTTATATATGGTATATAAAGAATTGATCTGTTATTATACCTATTAGATTTAATTAATTCAATCAGGGTGTCTGGTTCAGTTAGAAAATTGTCCGCATCTACAAACTAAAATAAGCATATATGAATTTAGAAATAAAATTTGACAAATAATATTAATTGGATATTTTCGTGAGGACAGGATTAACTACTTTCTATAAGCGATTTCCCTTGTACTGATATTTATAAATACCCTAGCTGAAATATGCTGCATATTTGTAGCAATTTTACGATGAAAATTGCTCGAGCTTGCTTGTAGTATCGGCGTTATTAAAATTTGAAATTGCCTAAACTAGTGAAAATTAATTACTACGAATATGGCTAAATATCATTTTCTAAACTCCTTTATTTCGGTATATCCAATATTGTATAATCCCACCCAATTCCACCCTTTAAACGAGCAGCGCTGGGGTATTTATACTACTGTTAGATGACTTATAACGGTTGTTATCGACAGAGCAAGCGCTTGCACCCAAGCGATCCTTAGACACATTATAATGGTTGGTATAGAATTGACCACAGTACTAAGAGCATTGTACTGCACTGTAGATATCTTACAGTACCTGCTAATCTTAACTTGGTATATCCATCACCGCACATTAGTTGTCAAAATGTGCTATGGACCATCAACTAATCTTAATATAGCATTTCATAGCATTTCATCCGTGAATGCATTATTGAAAAGTAGTATTCTACAAGCATAGCTATGAATATAGTAGTGCCTGGCTATTACCGGGATATATATAATGTCGAATGGTAATACTATCTGTTAATTATTAACAAATGGGTACATTATTGTAAACCGTCGGCAAAGCGACGTGAGTTTGTACTAGTATTGTATAACATAAACGTATAATATATAATTATCAATACATCAGCCAAAATAGTAAAAATCGACAATATTTCTAGCCATTCCACGATCTAAATATGAGCCAATTCACTCTATAGTTACTGGTCAGATATCTACGAGTATATGTTATTCTCTTCTCGATTATAAATAGAAACAGCCATTATCGGTATAGGCGATATACAGTAGTTTGAGTAAATATGAAATCGGCTAGTGTGTAGGATACTAAGAAAAGATAACGAGGCCTTACGTGCGTATAAATGAGCTTATGAATTATCATTATAGATTCTGTACAGTAATCTCGACTGATGCCTACGGAAAAGTCGATGAATTATAATTATCTAATCGTTAAAATAAGTTTATTAAACATGCAAGCGTTGATTCTCACCAATATTAAATAAATTCTTTTACATTAAGTTAGTTGATTATTTCCATGCGACACGACGCTAAAGTAATTTTGTTGAAAGATAAATTTAACGGGAAAACACTTGACTTGGCTAAATTTAGACTTACTAATACGTAATCAGCCCAATATTTTAATGCTGCGGCTAATGCTAGTTGCCTAAGTTGAAGTAAATGTCTATATCTTGATGGTGTCCATTGCAGAGAAAGATCAGTCTGCAATGAATAGTTATTGCTGGTCATAATTTCAACTCGATGATAATCTGATTCGACTTGACTTTTCCATTCCACCAGCATTTCTTCGGTTTGATCTTGGTTGTTATCAGTTGCTATCCTAGATAATATTCATTTTAAGGAATAGATTTAGTATTTTATTAATCTATATTAGAAATAAAATTGAAGAAATGACAAGGTATAAGCTGGCTTTATACGTTATCCAGAATGATATTAAATATCGATTGTAGCATCTATCCTATAATAAATATTCGTTACCATTCTGGACTATAAATTAAATTGTATTGGGTTAAAAGTAAATCTGCAGCAGGTTCAATCGCTGTTTTAATGAATTCATATTATAATGCTACGATTCTGAAATAGAAAAGTGTACTCTAGGGACAGCGATTAAAATTGAGAAATATTGATTAAATAGTGCATCGTAGGAGTGATGTATTGTTGCTTTTTTTACATTATCGAATATGTTCTGAACAGCTTGGAAGGAAATTGAGCAGATTAGCTATCAAAGGCGTATCATTACCGTTAATAGATCAGAAATGAGTTGGATTAACAGTAAATAAAAATCAGCTCATGTAGAGAATAATTGCTATTACAAGGTAGTAAAATACATCGATTGATGAGCTTTAAAATTACTGAATGAGCTAGCTATGTTCATACATGGTTTACACTAGAGGAGAATCAAACCAAGTTACCTATCAAAAAATTATTGCTGCTTTTAATGGATAGAAATGAGCTCAATTGGGAAATAATCATACGTTGAAGGTGTTAAAAATACATCGTATGATATGTGGTATCGATGCTTTTAAGTTTTTACTGTTAATTAAGCTAGCTACACATTGACGAACGTTGGAAAAAAGTGAACTCAGCTAGAAAAATGTTTACACTTTGAAAGTGATTAGATATACAGCACCTATAATAAAAAATTACTAATTAAGCTAGCTATGCATTTATGAATAATTTAGAAGGGAATGAAAGAGACCAGCTACCGATATCAAAGAAATATGCTCACGACTGTCAATTGATCGAAATGAGTTAATAAAATAAAATTCGACTGTTCCAGAAATGAATCATTGCCTAAAGGTGATAAAATGCACCTAATAGGGTGCTTTTAGATTTAAAATCACTCTATGAACTAGTGGTTATATGAACACCTAGAAGAGAATCGAACAGATTTGCTATCAAAGAAGAGTTATGGCTGTCAAAAGATCAAAATGGCTTGATAAGATAAAAATGATTTGGTCTAGAGCATAACTATCGCTTGCGGATAATAGAATGCTACACATTTAAATCATATGATAGAGCAGCAACAATAGCTACGAAATGGTAGCCTATAATGTTAAGTAATGGTTGTATTATCGATTGCTAGCGTGGTATCCTTATTACTATAGCCCAATTTAGCAAGGAATAGTAGCGAGCTGGATAGAAAATATCGTGCAGGTATTGAAATGATATCCTCATAGACAAAGCAGCAATCATAAATTAGCTAAATGCCTATAATTTTACGATATGCTCATTTGCGATATTTCTAAGTAATATCCTATTTAAAAGAAGTTGAACGTCATCGTCTTTCCATTGCAATTTAATTTAGCAATAAGTTGGACAGAAGACCAGGGGTAGGTGATAAAAATATAAATCATGGGTGGCTTCAAGTCACATGGATGAAGTAGTAATAACAAATATGCGAAAGGATATCCTGTAACATGAAACTTTCTTATGTAATATGTCATTGATGAGAGTTGAACGCCGTCCTCTTTCTATTGCAATTCAATTTAGCAAGGTATGCCAACAAGTTGGGTTGTAAATCATAAGCAGGTGATAAAAAAATATGACGTAGATTTAAACCTTAAAATAAGATAGTAATAATGATAAGTAAATATCGTGTAAAATACAGTCTTGTAAGTAGATAGCATTCATGGAAGCTGAACTCTATCCTCATTCTTTTGCAATTTAATTTCTATAAAAATAGAATCTAATAAATTTAAAGCAGAAATTCAGAACGTTTACATTGATGTGAGTTAATTGCATGTAATATTAACAAATATTGATACAATTACCAGTTACCAGAAAGCAATCCTTTTTTTATCGTAATTTAAATTAGCTAGGCATGCCAATGAGGTGGGTAGAAAATCAGAAGCATCACGGGCTAGAACGGCAATAACTACAGCGGGCAAACGATTATACTCCAAGGCAGTCGTATCGGCTAATGTCATGGTTATCAATAAAATATTGATAGCAAGAATCATTTGAATATAAACACGAGCCATTGTATTCAATCGCAAGTGCTACTTTTTATGGATAATTTGATGAATAATTTTAATTTAATGATTCATTAGTATTAGCACAGTTCTAACTCAATCTTGTACTTTAAGACCCAAGCGTACTATGTGATTACCTACTACACGTAAATCTGCTCGACATCGAATTAATAAAATTAGCATAATTAGACTAAAATAATTTTATACGCGTATATAAGCCAATAGCTAGGCAGAATGCTTAAAGTCTACGATGACGGCAGACATAGGCATGGACTACAGAAGTAAAAGTATTAGCACAGTTCTCACTCAATTTTGTGCTATACCCGAGCGTACTATGTGATTACATACTGCACGTAAATCAACTCGACCTTAAATTAATAAAATTAGCATAATTAGGCTAGAATAATAATTACATATAGGCCAAAAGTTAGGTAGAACACCCAAACTCTACGATGAAGGTAGACATGAGTATGGAGTGCGGGAGGAGAAGAAAATGCATTAGCATAGTTCTAACTCAATCTTGTTCTAAAGAATACTCGAGCGTACTTTGTGATTACATACTACGCGTAAATCAATTAAACATCAAGTTTACTATACGTGATAACTGCAAAGGTACTATGGGAGCCACTAGTAAGAGGCACAATGCACAGCTACAGATCTACTGTACAGTTAAAATGACCAGTAAAGGAAGTCGGCCCTCACATTTTCATCAATGAAAAGTCCTTTCCTGTCCTTCACTCATTTTCTTCACTGTAGTCTCTGACATAGGCAATATCATACAATATCAATTCGTTTAGTCAGCTTCACTATCGATAGACTTGCATTGCGTAAATTAATTAATTTTTTTATTAATAGTACCAGGCATAGAGATATGTACTTATACGCGTAAATAGGTATACAAATAGATGCCTACACATATATAAGTAGTTTTAAAATACAATAAACAAGATACAGCGCGTCTAAGCAGCATATGACCTTTAGACTCGAAATAGTATCGCCTAAACTTTAAAATTGGATAAAATAAACAATCGCATTGCAATACAGTAAACTGATTAGTATTATATTATGACAACGCATGCACCATGTCTAATTGCTAACACAGTCAATTCATAAACCCATTTTTTTTTGTGTGTGTGTGAGAGTGTGTGTTTGGTAGAGACTAATTAATGTACACTTTAGATATATTTCACATACTTTTAATCGCATCGATATAATTCGAAAAAACGAGATTAGAAGATTAAACCATTCAAGAGTGTAGAATGTCGAAAGAAAGAGTAACAGCAATGGTGAAAACATCAATAATACAGAAACAACTTGCTATTGTTACCATTGATAATGACGATAATATAGAGAGTAATAAGAATAGGAATAATAATAATAACAATAATAATAATAGTACAGCAGCGATGAACATATCAATTTAGACTACAAATACGCAAATCAATAATTTACTGTACATAAGTAAAGATGGTCAACCATTTGTTATAATTAACCATCGCAACAAAACCAATTGCTTAAGTAGCAGTTAGTGGATAGCGTAATATTAATGTATAAGAAATCTTATCTAAATAATACACAATATGCATGCCAACTTTCCACATCATAAACGCCCTAGAAATCTTGTTATAGCAGACAAATTTTAATTCAGTGGCATAAAATTAATACACTTGTAGTTTGGATATTTTTGCAAAATTGCATTCATCAAACTATCGCATTTACATAACAGTTTGTAAGTACGTATGCGCATGAAGCGTTAATTTATATATATTGATATTATCCTTTGCGATGCCTATAAACGTCCCCTCGTTGCTTTAGTCTATGCATGTTATTGCTGCCATTTTGTCGCTCATAAGGTGATTTAGCATTGCGATTGTTTAGATTCTTTGTTGGTCGAACTTGCAGCTGTCCTTGCTGATTATTCATACTATAATTAGTCATAATTCCACGTACATTTGGCCCTACAACAAGCTGGTCCAGACTTTGAACATCTGGAGCCATTCGTGTAGTTTGTCCTACTACTCCGCCACCAATAGATGCCGGTCGAAACTGAACCGATTGAATAGTGGTCGAGTGAAGCGGTCCAATAGGCCTAGCAGTACCTGTAGCTATACTCATATTACCCTGTTGCGGATTTACAACAACAGCCTGATTGCTATTTCCTACTACTGTACTCATTGGCATAACATATGATTGAAATCCACTTACGCTAGGTTGCATATTAAAATTTCTATTAGTTGTCAATTGTTGTGACGCTTGATAGGCTGCAAAATTTTGTCCAGTGTAATCTCGATAAGAAGAGTTTTGAAGATTCACACCAACAGCAGTATTGACACCTGGACTAGGGACTCGAGGATTTGTTCCAGTTAAATTTGAATTACCTATACCATCCACGGAATTACTAAACATTGGCGATACTTCTGTTTCGTACGAACCTCCATGAGGTTTATGTTGTTTATCGATATATGATACTGTTTGTATTTGGTTAATACCATCATGTACCGTTGGCCCTCTTAAACCAACTGTCGATTGGACTGGATTATTCGCTTGTTCAACTGACCACTGTAAAGATGCTGGTTGAGAATGCAATCCAGGCGATTGTGATTGCTGAGGAGGCATACCAGCTGCGGATAATAATGAATGGTGCACAGGATCCATCGACTGAATTGTTTGATAGTCTGCTTTCTTCGTACCATACGCTTGACTGTTATAATTTGGATTCGATATAGGTAAATTAGGCGTTGTAGCATTAACTGACATAGATAGTGAATGATTCACCATACCATGATTTCCGACTGCATCAACCCGTTGTTGACTTTGGCTTGCAGATTGATATAAGTGAGGACTGTGAGAATGATGGCTTAATCTATTTACTGAATGACGCATCATTTGATCATGTTGGTGTTGGTTAACAGTATATTGTTGCCCTTGAAATAACTGTTTTGGAGATCCTAGAGTACCAGTAGGTGATGCATTTGGTAATTTCGGTTTGTTATGAACGTAATACTGTTGATTTCCATTTTGATGATAATCAACCGGATTATTTTGGGCTTTATAAGCTTGAGATACCGGGACATGCCCTGCCATAGCATCAGGTATCCCAACGTCAGGTGCATCTCTTTTTGGTTCCAATGCCGGTACTTCGCTTGAATCGATTCTACTTTTATTTGATTTATTGTTGTTAATGTTAGTACTAGTTGACCACTGTTTCCCAGCAAGATTCATTGAATCACCACCAGTAGTAGTTTCCTTGTTAAACACAACAGATTCAATCGATGGCATAATTTCACTCTGTTTTACAGAGTTTGAAGATGCTTGATGCTTATTCACCGAGGTATCATTACGTCCGCTGTCCGATGCGTTAGGTGTTTCCTTTTCAACAACAGGATGAGATGATCTTACTACAGTTTCATCCTCTACTTGAAATCGTTCCTGATTCCCCGAGCCTGATATCATGCTAGATCGATTTGTTATAATATCCTGTATTTTAAAACAAAATCAAGATATTTTATTAATTACAGATCTAACACTGATTGTAACGTTTGTAGCTAAAAGGTTCTTTGAAATTATTAAATAAACAGTACAAATTATCAACTACGACATGCATTAATAACATGGACGACAGAAACATTATAATGTCAACTGTATTCAGCTGAAATAGTCATAGTTTTAAGATATCAAGTAAACCGAGAAGATAAAAAATTTCTACCTGGTCGGGTGTGTCGGAACTAGACTTTGAAGTTAGCGGTGCTGATTTGGGTACTTCATTAGTCCGTTTCTTTGGTGGTGAAACGACTTTATCGCTGTCAACTAATTGGTGGGCAGTAGATCCAGTTGATTTTGGCGATGAATGGGAGCCCAAACTATCATTATTAATCTATCAGAAATCAGAATATGAATTAAAATGGCGTCGCTTCTAAAATAAAGTTAGTTTTAAAACTTTAGTAGTCACATTTACCTTTTTTCGCTGTTCATGGTACTGGCTGTCTTCCGCCTTGCCAGGTTTCCTCGTATCTGTTTGATTATTTTTATCATTCTTATTCCTATAATTAGGATTCTTAAAATCATTTCGTGAGGTATTATCTCTGCGATGTTTTGGTTGGTAAAATTCAATTTCCGGTTTCGTATTGGATTTTTTAACATGTTTATGACCTCTATCATCGAGGTCTTTATTAGATTGAGCATAATGACCGAAGTATTCATTTCTTTCCGCTACTTTTTTCTTATCTGCTTTCTCATCAATTCTATATTGTTGTCTTTCTGATTTGTATTTAATATTTTGATCTTCTATATCTCTTTGTCCCAAAAATTCAGCTTTATCAGTAGTTTTCCTTCGTTCCCATTCTGAATTACTTCTAGTTGATGATTTATCAGCTTTAGCATCATCTATTCTTTCCATTCCAATTGGAGGAGATTTTCCGGTAGGCTTTCGATTTGCTTTTTCATCAGTTTGTGCCATAGGTTTATCAGGCCTATTTCCCGTATTTGAAGATTTTCCCTGTGATGTATCTTTAATAGTATGCGAATTCTTTCGATGAATCTCCTCTATATCGGTAGATTTCTTTACATTAATTTTTTCATCCAGCTGTGATTGCATTAAATTTGGCCTGTTGGTTTGATGAGTAGGTGCTGACGCGGCCAATTTACTCGTTTTTAGAGGTATATCCCAAGCACGCTCAACTTGGTCATTGTTACCAGCACCAGTCGCTCGCTCTTTACCATCAGGAACATTTCCTTTATCCACTAAATTTTTATCTAGTGGTTTTGAAGCTGCTGCATTCTCCTGTAGTTTTTGATTATGTGAAGATTTTTCTAATTGCTCTCGCTGTTGCCCAGTGCTAGTTACGGAGCTAGTAGGGACATTATTATAATTTGTTTTATGGCTAGAACGTTCATTGTCATTTCGTTGACGATCATTACCTTTTCTTTTATTGTAGCTAACTTCTGTGAATCCTTTATTACTTTTGTCAAGAGGATCTTTTGTAGGTGGTTTACTTTTCCCTTTGTTGTCACCAACTGTTTGAGTTGTATCACTTCGTGGATATCCGCTAACGTTACCTTTCGGCTGCGATGACCCACTTAGGCGGTTATCGTCATCTCCTTTATTATTACCATTACCGTCAGCATCAGCTTTCCGTCCTTCGTAATTTTGTGCAATATCGTCATGATAAGATTGATCACGTTTCGATGTTTTAGTTTCTTCTACCTTCTTATGCATATGTTTATATGGTTGCGGTTCAGAACGACTACCATAGTCATTGTAATTTCGGTTTTGATTTTTGTTGCCAGGTCGATCAAATTTTGAAGTTTGAGGTTTACTAGAAAAATTCTTATTAGGACGATAATATGAATCATTATATCTCTTTCCTTCATTGTGTCTATTATTTGAGTGGATATTACGTTTATCAAATCTTGACCGATCCTGGGGCCAATGATGTTGATCATCATCTTCGTAATTTCTACGGTTACTTGGTGGAAGATGCTTTTCCTGTCTCCTTTTAGTGTTATCAGATCTAGCTGATGGTTCATAAGACTTACTATGCTGTTTTTCGTCTTCGACTATAACTACTCTTTGCGCATCTTTCTCAGTCGGCACTGTAATACTGATATCTCGATGAGAGCTTTTTGCTTGTTCGTATTGTCTTTGTGTACTTGGATATGATACTCCTTTATCATATGGCTTACGTCTATCATTTCTATACGCACCACGATTATCATATTCATAATCTTTGTTATAATTTCGTTTATTAACTCTCCCTTTCATGTCGGTATTGTCCTTATATTTTAAGAAACGATTAGATTTATTATGTATAGCTTCTTCAGTGGAGTAATTATTGCTATCTTTTCTCCGCATTTGAGCGCCAGTATAACCAGCTTTTAACAGTTTTTCCGTATTACCATCTTTTGTTAAAATTTGCTCCCTATCATCTGCTGGTGCACTTTCTAATTTACTGGAATCACGCAGATTTTCTCTACCACTATTATTACTATCTTTGGCAGCCAAGATTTCATGATCGCTTTCAACGCTTTCGATCCTAGTACCTGATTCTTTGTTATCTATCGTTGTTGATTTCTCTGTCACATCACTCTTATCTTCATCATTAACTAGACTCTTTCCAACTCTTTCTCTACTTTCATGATCCGATAATGTCATCTTTTCAATTCCTAAGCAACTATCTCTATTTTCAATCTCTGCAAGTAAATGACCCTTTTCAACATATATATTATCATTATTTAATTCTTGATTAAAAATTTCATTTATTTGTTGATTCACGGATTGATTACCCAAATCAGGTATACTTGTTACTAAATTTGGATTATTTTCATTACTGGAAGCAAGTTCCACTTGATTGCTGTCAGATTCTACCATTGCAGATTCTGTTAATCGTTCATCAATTGATGATCCACGAGAGGAAAACGAACTACTTGTTCTTGCATTATTCTGTATTGCTTTAACTGATTGTACTTCACCTTTTCTCACTGGTTCAACAGTAGCATTATCATATCTTTTTTCGTGCTTTTCAGTAGGTTTGAAATTTCTTTGACCCCTTTCCATTATCCTTTTCGGTTGTCTCTTTCCACTTTGATCGTACGGATATTCTTTACCTCTACGATTGTTGGGGTATGGACGATTATCATATTGTTGACGAGCAGGATATCCTCGTTTACCACCTCTACCTCGATATTTTTGGTTAGATCGTCCTATACTGTTACTGTGGTAATTATTTTCGCCCCCATAATTTTGATAACTATCATACTCGTCATAATAATAAGCAGGCTGTTTTTCTGGTCTCTTTTGGTGTTGTGTGATACCGACATTTCTTGACATTCCGGTATTAGCTGTGTTTTTCATATTATCTTGTTTTACATCATTAGATTTTGCAAGATTTTCGTCTGCCTTAGTTAATGCTTGACTGGAATCTAGCAATGTGGCATCGGTTGAAGTGACTTTTTTAGTATTGGCAGTACTGTCATTCTTTGCTAAAATAACCCCATCGTTATTAATATTATCCAAACTAGCAGCGTTTTTAACCTCACCAATCGATTGTGATTCATCTCTATCGGCTACTGCATCCTTGTTGTGGTCGTAATTATCAGATGTATTTCTACGCAACAACTGAAATGGTGGAACTTCTTCTTTACGCGAGCTACTGGCAGCATCATGAGGCGCATGATGAAATTTATTTTCATTCCTTCTATAGCCTTGTTGCTTATTGTCAAATTTTTGAGAAGAAAAATCTGAATGCGCATGCCTACCACTAGAATTTTCTGTTATTGCGTCAGTTAAATGCATTGAATCAGTTAACCTAGTGGCACCATCGTTACTTTTAATCTGGCATTTTTTTTCAAGTTCCTTTAACTTTGCCTGAGCAGCTTTAGCCTGATCTTCTTTCAACCTTTTTTCTTCTTCTTCACGCCTACGTCTCGCTTGCTCTATCGATTCTCTAGATATTTCAAATTTGGTACGACCCATTGCTTTGTCCCTTTGTTGTTCCTCGTCTGGGTTAGACCAATCATCAGCAATCATATCAGTTCTACCTCTCTGTTTAGCAGGAGGGCCATGTTCATTAGCTCTGTTAGGACTAGCTGGTGATACTTTAAAATTATCATCAGGTTGATGCCAAGCTTGACGAGGTACTGCTCTACCATTTCCTTTTGACGGCTATAATAAAACGATACATGATGTAAAAAGTGAGTAAAAAAAATGGTAGCAAAATTTATAGTTTAGCACGTTGTATATATACATATATATAGCTAACCTCGCGTGTTGTTGTATCAACAACTTGAACATTATCTTTAGGCTTTTCAATACTTATATTATGCGATTCATCACGTATTGCAATATTTTGTTCATCGCTACATTTATTTACACTAGATTTATGTGATGAATCTGAATTTGATTCTTCATCATCTTCAGTATCATCTGTATCGAAGCATAATCGATCCGTAAAATCCATCTCCTCCTGTTGACCTGCCCAACCTTCATCGCTTGTATCATCTTCAATTACGTTGTTATTCTTTACGGCTTGAGACTGATATTTGTTGGTAGGATTATTACTGCTTTGATTAAACATTTTCCGACTATTGATGTATAGACAATTGCGAAGTCAGCTTATAAAGTGTCAATAGATTTGTATCATTGATATAACATGACAGTGCTAATTATTTAAGAGTAAATTTGGGTCTAAACTTACTTCTCGGCATCATGAAAACCTTCATTAGGTGCATAATATCTAGGATCATTACCTATTCCCGCGTTAAACTAGATCACATTATAATAATAAAATATATAAATATGTCGTGTTATATATTATAAAGTACCCCAGATAAGGTGTGAAAAACATAGCTATACTAGAAACTCTAAGCATACATTTGGTTGAAAGTAAGCACCAGGTGGGTACATCATTCCACGATTGGGCATTCCAATATTATACGGCATTTCAGGAATAAAAGTACCTAGATTAAATTAGAATAATGTATAAATGTATTAACAAAGATACAGCAATTTATAATTATCAACATTCCAACACTGTACATTGACACTATACGATAATAAAGTACCTTGAGGGTGATTTTGCTCTTGCCCGTAGGTATTTTTTACATCCGGTTCTTCTTCACTAGCTTCAACAGGATCGCCTAAAGCTGGGAACTCACGCTGGGATAGTGGTCGATTTGCTATATCAATAAATAAAACTTCTAATTATTTCGCCATAGGGTATAAATATGTCGAACTAGTATAATATTGACTATTAGGAGCGATACGTATAATCTATGGTTAAATTAGTATGCGGTGGTAATATATCGTAATCGTAATAAGGTAATAATGAGAATTACAATGTTTATTACTGAATTCAAGGAAAAAATTTTAACCTACTGCATAATAACAAGAATGCACTGTAAAGATACTAAGTAGGTAAAATAGATACGGACCCTGTTGCTAATATGCAATATTATTATGCTCATTGCATTATTTCGGTCTACTACAATCAATCGATTATACTTGTTTGGATTAACAGGATTACGAATGTAATATTTCCCACGTATAATCAATTATGGCTTACATTGTGCTACTTTTGCTTCTGCAACGACAGTACTGCCACTCCACACAGTTTGATTAGCGGTTGATTCATTTTGATCTACTTCTTGGCTTCGTTGCGTTGCACCAGAGGTAGTAGATTCTGACTGGCTTACAGCTGGGGACACTCGAGTAGTTGTCGTGGCTGGTGTATTATTACTACTTTGATCGTTTTTTTCTACATTTCCCCATCCTAAGCCACCAGAAGGTACGATGCTTACAGAAGGATCATTTCCCAAATTTTCACTTTTTAAACTGGGTAATGAAGCAGGCGCTGGTACACGTCGAACATTCTTCGCGCCAGCAGCAGAACGAAGTCCAGTACCTGCAAGAATATTCATATCAGGAAAGTATTTCAAGTTAATATTGAAATATTACGTTGCTATATTTCATATTAATCAGTAGAAAGACATATTATTATACAATACAGTATTATTTAAAAACATTTGTATTGATATCATCGCTTAACCAGAGACTTTAGAAAGAAACTTTTACTTATTCAAGTCCTGGTATAACTAAGATTATGGGAAAGTAGCAACAATACGCTCTTACAAGTTTGCACTTGAATATCTAAAAAGGATGACGTCCAATTGTAAAAAAACTAATGTCAAACAATGTGAAAAGAAAATTCCGCAGGGTCAATCAAAACGCTAAAATTGTAAATCGTTGTAGGTCATTGCAGGTTAATAGATATACTAACAATTTTAATTATTATACGATATATACGTATTACGATCGATCATACAGGCTAATATGTTTAGTGCAAAAATTCGATTGCTGATGGATAGTATTCCCAAAGAATACTCATTAACATTGAGATAATTATAAGTAATAAGTCCGAATAATCGCTATATTGGTCTCAAATTGTTAATTCATTGATTCGAACGTATAGAATAGCAGTACATTTAGTATTTTAAGTTCACTATGACCTTTTTATTTTAATATGATACGTACATATTTAATACTACTGCATTTCGTTTTATGGGTCAAGGTTTCACAAATATCTCATATGAGACTGCGTTAGCAACCTTTACTATGTTTGTAAGTTATAATTGTTTTAAAATGAACAATTTAATTCTTAATTAATGCAAAATTAAGAATTAAACAAGAGATAACATTTTAATTTACCATATAAATCAACTGAAGTTTCTTGTATGATAGCCTGTAAAGTACTGTACCGCAAAGTGAGATTGTTTCAATTTTATATTTCGAGTGTTACATTAGAGTTAATGACAAGCAAGCTATGTTTCCAATCTAGTATATCTTTCAGATTCTACGCAGTACCGAGGAGAATAATTTTTAACCAGGCAATACTGCTATATCATGTCAATCACATAATATATATATATATATATCAACTAAAATAGGCTGCCAAAACAGCGAAATAATGAAATCATAGAGTGATTAAAATGGTAATTTAAGGTGATCAATGGGGATAGAGTAGCATATCATTCTACCCGTAATATAAGAATGAGTTAAAAGCAATATACGAGTTCGCTCGCATAATGTTGAAGGTAGTAGATATTGTAACTCCTAGGTCAAGTTAAGCTGTAGAATAGAAGATTGTTATCCAAGAATATAAGTGCACGAGTAAATCTGCATTAATAAGTAATTATTTTATTAATTAGAGAGGTATATTGTCCAGATTTACTTTAATCACAATTAATATATTACATGGAATGTCGCGACTTCAAGTCTACAGTAGCTATAACTATAAATTCACCACTAAAACTATAACTATCTCTAGCTATTAATAATGCGGAAGTACTACATAGAAAATAAAATTGGCATAATGGAGCTATGCGCGTCTTGATGTCATTACATGGTGACGACAATATGGTTATTTACTTAATTTACAGTTAATGCACTACCTAACGATAGCTAGTGCATTAACTTGCTAACCCAACTCAGCAATTGATTGAAATAATATATTTTACAGTATTAAGTGTTTCAATTCGTTCATTGTATTGAGCTCTACGATAAAATTTAAAGCATCATCAATAGATTGTAATCAAGACCGGTATATCTCGAATGATTTAACGTTAAAGCATAAATAAATAACATCTTTTTTTAAGCGACTTAAAGTTCACTTCAAAAGAGTATCAACCTACAGTACTAGTACGCGTATATAGGTTACAACAATCCTTAGTGCAATGATTAAAATTGATTAGATATCACAACATGATTAAAGATGTCGATAAGAACTAAACTTAAAAGCATCTATACTATCGACTAAATTACCCAATACCTGAATAATTCATTCCATTAAATTACTAAGAGAACTACAACGACACTGATGTACTGTATACAGACTGTATGTAGTAAGTGTGCAAAGTCACAAAGAGTGTAATCTAGCTAGTAATCGATAGTTTAGGTTAGAATTTACGATCATCTTCGCATCATCATTTGTCTTTTCCATAACATACTGTACATGTGTTCATTTATTAAAAGTGTCTAAAAATTAGAGAACATTATTATACACTTATCACACTACTGTACATTACGACTAGATCCTGAAGTAGTTACAACTGGAATATTTGCATAACGAAGCAGCGTAGGTACTAAAGTGATGACTTCAGGATGATAGTAAGAGTAAAATATGTAAGGGTTAGAAATATCGATTGAAAACGTTTCAACGTCCATTCTTTTCCCACGTCAAGCATACTTAACACAACAAGAAATCCAAATGTGATGATTGATAATTAATTAAACGACATGGAATGTATTTTGCGGAAGATGATAAACTTGCTGTAAATAATTTACGACACGGCACTGTACTTGTTGGCAGTTTCTGTGAGCTGTAGAATCTTGAAGTGGGTATGCTGTTGATATGGTACAGTATTATAATCGTTAAGAGAAACTCAAAAACTCTTGTGTACAGTAACTTCACGCCGTTATAATCGGGTTTATATTCAAGAAAAAGTCAGCCCCAACAGTCCATTGGATTTAATTAAAGACAGGTAACGTAAAAGAATTTTGATCGAACACTTATTAAGTTCATAGATTACATCAAGAGGCTATACGTATGTATTACAAGTAGTAGTTGTTTGTATCCACTTCTGCTACCAGAACTTGTAAAAAGTATTATATGAGAAATCTGCTAGTATTTTATAGTATTTGAAAAAGCCTTTTTGAACATTTTGAGGGCAACAAAATAGGTCATTAGCACTACTACAAGCATCCCATGGGCGATTATATTATAGATCGTTATGAGTACAATCTAGAGGACAGGATCAAATTAAGAAAGGGCATTGGAAGATAAAGGCTCTTTATTGATTGACTTGAAAGATACTCGTTTAGTAGTCAGTATCATGGATATTGTACATTGATGATGAACAAAGTAGGACTAACTAAGGTTACGATTCATTCTTGTTCAGATCATTTTGAAGCTATTGACTCTATGTAGAGAGACATTATAATATTTGTCTTGTTTTCCTCTAAGATGACGAGAAGCTAGTATAGAATTGGTGATCGCGTTTTCCTCCCGATTTCTCTGGTTGAAAACGGGATTGATGCCCAAGTCATTTCATCGCTATGTGCTGTAGCGCTCCATTGGCACCGTTATCCTTCATATTTTACTGTCCTAAATTGATGAATTCTACACGATCGTTTCTACATACAGAGTAGGCATGAAAATTAATGGAGAAAATTCACTGCAGTGTTTACTGTATTTTATCGCGTAACATCGCTACACGTAAACTAAGGATCACTTTCTTCGCACAAATCCTCTCCATTCCTCTTCAAAACGATAACGACATCCTACGAGATGACTTACGTCCAGTCTATATCGTGTCGAGGACAAGCGTCCATGTATGAGAGTGAATGATATTGTGCTATGTTCATATCCAAAGATATAATTTATACATAATTGAAAAAAAAAATGCAATTTCTCTAGTACGTATAGAGGGGGGGGAATACAAGGTCAAGAAACGGCCCGAGACAATGCTAGCAAGCACGGTCAAGACTCGTCAAGACAAGGGGTAAAAAAATGTACGCACACACACCATGCTAATACTACCGCAGTTTATGATAGAAAAGACTAGCGAGGGGGGAGATAAGACACTAGCCAATTCTTTTTTTCTTCTTATCCTTGTTTAGGAATAAAAAATGGCGACAAAATTTACCTTGGTGGACTACTAAAAAGTGCTGATTCAAAATGATTTGATGATCCTTCTACGCTGTGCTCTATAAAACACTGTCTTTGCTAAGTGGAACACAGTAGTAGTATAGTTATAATCGTTGTCACAGCCTTTCGTTGTAGTCAAGTGTATCGAGATGTAGCCTAGGGTACTGTCAAGACACTATCAAGTCCGTTTTTTAGTCACTCAACATAGAGAAGAACGCTAGTTTGAGTGAGAAGAAAGACCAAATGGATCATTTCCATTTGGCTTGTTAAGTTGTATTGTAGAACAAGATTGAGAGATTTTTTTTCTCTTACCTGATTTATTATCTGCCTTCCTCTTGGTGATATTTTGAGTTGAGTTCGCACTACGACCTAAATTCTTCTTCTGTGAACTCGATCTAGTTTTAAGTGACGAAAGCTGATCTGACATACTGCAGCTTGTGTCATCAAGACAGCACTTGAAAGCCCGTAGAACGTGCTATATTATGGAAGAAAAAGAGTCCAAGACAAGAATAGATTGATTAATGAACCTTCTTCAACTTGAATATGCCTCCAAAGTAATGTCTAAAGAAAGACAAGATATCAGGCAATAAAATTACACTGTACAATATTGGATCATTCACTGCTTCGTCATAGTACAAGGGAGTATCAAATTATGAGTCATTGCAAAATCATGCAACGGCCCTTTGACTATACTATTAGTACAGTCTGGCAAGGTCGTTGTCAACCATAAGCTAGTAGAGCAAGTCTTGCTTCGCATACGCAATCATCACCTGGATGATGCCTATTGGCTACAGTATAGTACATCCACTACCATTGAATACACCTTAGTCAACAGGAATACAATACAATCATGCACAATTTTTGCTTTGTCAGCAAGGGAGTACAACAATAACGACATTGGGTCATCATCGATCGTTGATCATTTTTACATTTCAAAGACATTATTCAAGTACTTACCAAGGCGCGTTCGCTTGGGTAGAACTTATATCGTAGTAAATACGAAAAAAATGGACAAAAACAAGTCAAATAGGGCTTCGATGGCCAACGATTCAAATGCGATTCTTTTCACTTCCAAAACAACTGAATGTGGCTCTGGCCAATTTGGAGCCTATTGTGCACGGTGAAGTTGAGCTGTTATGCGATTGAACTGTCAAGTGCCTCAGCCGGCTACCGTCCCAGGCTGGTGTATGGATT